GTAAGCAGGGACCTGACCAGAAACCAGAGAAGCATTAATTATAGAGAGCACGCTGGGACCGATGGACTGAAGAGCACTTTTAAACAAAGATGAGGGTAAGATGTGGAGGGGGCATGCAGAGGTCTTCATAGAGTTAACTAGTTTGGTTAACTCAGGCAAAGAAACAGGAGCAAAGCTATCTAGGATGATGGGCCTGGTTGGAGTCGAGAGAGGCGGCGATAAGGCTGAAGGAGAGATGCTGGATCTAACCTTATTGACTTTGTCCACAAAGAAAGACAGAAAGTTCTCACAGTCTGCAACAGAGTGGATGGAGGCTGTAGGAGAGGCAGGAGACACAATGCTGCTGATGGTGTTAAACAGCACCTTGGGGTTCCCTTTGCTCTGGGACACCAGGTTGGAGGAATAGGAAACCCTAGCGTCTCTGACTGCAGAGTTAAAGGATGACCGAAGATCCTTTAGGTGCAGCAGATGGACATGGAGATGGGTTTTCTTCCACAAACGCTCAATTTTTCTGCATTGGCGCTTCAGGCTGCGAAGGCTGTCATTAAACCAGGGAGTAGGGTTCACTGCAGGAACTGATCTGGTTCTGACAGGACAGATATTGTCCAAAATGGAGAGGCAGTGCTCGTTAAACTGAGAAGTTAAGGAATCTGGGTCGTTATCAGAAGAACAGGGTGGATCAAAAGCAGCAGAAAAATTGCTAGCTGTGCTCTCATTAAGAAAACGAGAACTAACCATACGGCGAGCAGGAGGTGGGGACGCAGAAACTGACAAGTTAAAGAAAATGCAATGGTGATCTGAAATATAAACGTTCTCGGGACAAACACTGTCAGCATTTAGACTCAGGGTGAAAACAAGGTCTAGAGTGTGCCCCCTGGTGTGTGTGGGGCCAGAAACATGCTGGGTAAAGCCGAAGGTGTCCATAGGTGTAAATGCTGTTAAAATGTTCTGTGTAAATTTAATGATGTAGGTGAGTGATTATAATAAGCTACATAATTTCATGAATATATATTTGTGTTGAAATGTTTTTTTATGTACATATGTAACGTGTAAGAGCTAGTGTCTCGTGACAATACCCTTAACGAGCGTGCACGAGACCTTTTCATGGACTGTGAGGGAGCAGATGTCTCTCATGAAGCGATTTTAAGCTAAAGGTTTACTAAAGGAAAGGGCAACACAAGGACTTAAGGACCTCTTTTCAGGACAAGCAGCCAACGAGGTATTTGTCATTTGAGAAATGTTTTATTCATGTTTGGACTTAATGTGTACTGTAAAGTTGCTAATTGGTCTGTATTGTTCACTCGTGATCAGTTCTCACTGTGTTTTGGTGTAACGGTGAAGCCAAGGAGCCCAAGGAATAAACGCCCGTTTCAAAGAACCGACCTGCGTCTGTGTTGTCGTGAAGAGAGCTACAATAAGGCTGGAGAAATTCATGGCAAAGAGATAGGAGGGATCATCAACGTGGATGTTAAAGTCACCAACAATCACCAGTCTGGACAGCTTCACAGTGGAGGATAGAAAGTCACTAAACTCCTGAAGGAAACAACTGTTTGGACCAGGTGGACGATAGAGCACAGCACAGTAGAACGGGTCCTTACGCCCGACTTTAATCAGCTGCAGTTCAAAGGAAGCAAAGTGACCAGAGGTTGTAGAGCTACATGGAAGATGGTCTCTGAAAACAACAGCTAGGCCTCCACCACGACCAGAACCCCGAGGCTGGCTAAGAAAAGAATAACCACTCGGGCAGAGTTCAGTCAGACCAGAATAATCAGATGTTTGCTGCCAAACTTCAGTCAGAAACAGAAAATGCAGGTTTTTAGACAGAATTAGATCATTGAGCAGGAAGGACTTATTGTTAACAGAGCGGTTATTTAATAGAGCCATGCTGAGTGAGGAGGAATCAGAAACTACAGAAACAGCTGGAGTTAGTGGACATAAATTAGCAGGGTTAGATCCACGGTGTTTATAAAAACCACTTATGGAGGGAACAGGAGGAGAAACCACTGAGGAATGAGGATTCCTGCTCGTTTACCTCTTTTCCTCCGACGTTTTCACGGGACCGGACAAACATCACTAGAGGTGCGCAGCTCTGGATCGTCGATTGCTTCCGGGCTGGTACGCCGCTTAGGTAAACAAACAGGATGGTACGTCCTCGGTGCATCTTGGGCAATGGTGAACGAACGTAAGGACAAAACAGTCTGGCGATCATAGGAGATGGTAGCGGGGACACTACTGAAGAAGATCGCAGACAGGAGCAAGGTGGAAAAGAGGAGGTTAGTGGAGAAAAGTTTGAAAAAGTGGCCGGTGACTGCGGCTAAGTCAAGCACAGGCGCCACCATGTTGCCGACCAGAAGCAGAAGTGAGGAATGGAAGAAGGTTTGGCTTCTACCCGATCAATTTTTGATCACTAACAAGGGTAAAGAAACTTCCTTTAAACCACTACATAGATTCTACCCCTCTAAATGTTATTTTAAAAAAATGTAAATCAGACCTGGATACATCTTGTACATTTTGTGAAGATCTTCCAGAAACAACAACTCATCTTTTTTGGCTGTGCCCTCATTCCAAACGGGTTTGGCGGTCTTTCTGTGACTTCATCTGCTGTAAATTCTCTGTCAATTTTAACAGTAGTTGGAAGCAGGTTTTGTTTAGCCTTCACCAGAATATATTTAATAACTCTATTAAATTATTTATTAATCTGTTATTTATTTCGGCCAAATTTCATATCCATAAATATGAATTTCTTAAAAGCAAACCCAACTTTAATTGTTTCTTGGTGGAGGTCAAACATTATATGGGCTCTATCCGGTTCTCACAAAACCAGAAGGCTGTAAAGACTGCTCAACTGTGTACCTACTTTAAAGGGGCATTATGGAAGTTTGACAGCCAAAACACGTATAGAAATAATAAATGTCTTCTTCATACATTCTCCTGCAATGCCCTGGTCCTGTAGAATGAGCCCTGGCATTTTTACTGTGATTGCCTGTTTTTCTGTAAAATCACAGAAAAAGAGAGCTGCTTGGGTCTAGCAGGTTGCTTCATGCGCGTTCACGCTCAGGCATAGCCCTCTGAACCGTTCTTAACTGGTACAGATACAAGTGATGCCACTGGCATGTTAGCTCGCCTAGTAAGACGTCGGACTTTTAAGCAGGAGACCTAGGTTTGATTCTGGATGCGAACATAGTTTATTTAGAGTTTCTTTTTTAATGGTATATTTTTTTACAGTAAGATGCCCAAATTTTTATTTGTGACTCGCCGAACGGCATCGAATTCACAGATAAAAAAGATGTGGGTTCAACTTTCATTTTGGAACAACTTTTCAAGAGCATGCAGGAGGACTGACCCATCTTAAACCTTTGTCGGCTGTGCTGAAGAGAAATGTACAGAACCAAATTATTTAATTAATTAGCTGCACGTTCTCCTGTCCTCTGTCCTCCGGGCCACACACACACACACACACACACACACACACACACACACACACACACACACACACACACACACACACACACACACACACACACGGAGCTGACTGTCTCAGCTGTTATTTTCGTTAAGGAGTGTGCACGTACAGCATGCGTGCCTCGTGCACGAGCCTACTATTGAAGCTGTCGTTACACTTTTGGCCTAAGGGGGCAATCGCGAGCATAAAAATTCAAAACTCCGTAAAGTCCCTTTAAGAGAATCTGATGATGATTTATTACCATTTCTGTGTTGATGTTCTCTCTAGATATAAGCTACTTTAATCGGTATTTTTCTGTACATCCACATTTTTTTTATATCCCCTGGCACTTTGTTTTCATTTTTGTTCACATTTCACTTTTCTTATACATTGTCAACTGTGAGCTTGTAACCTCATTGCCACATTGTATATTCTATTTTTGTTAATAAAGGTTTATTAAAAAAATAAAAATAAAAAATAAAAAAATATTTAAAAAAACCTTGCTGTTAGCTTTCTGTTATATTTCTGAACGATACATTAAAGGAAGTAAAATGCCACGAATGGCTCATTATTCAATTCACACACACATTTCATTGTAATATTGAGTAGTTGGTCATTTAAAAAGTAGCTTGAGAGGTTTTTAGAGCTGACTATGAACTTCTCACCATTAGAAATGTTAGCCCAGCGTTAGCCTCTATAGCCTGCTTCACCCAATATTAGAGAAAACTAGAAGATGGCGTGGCTTTGTAGGGATATAAGAAATAATTTCTGTGTTGTTCCAGTTTACTGGCTTTGATTAACAACTATTTTTCCTGCTGGTGTCGAATTACTAATGTGGGCACTGCAATGTTAGCTCGCTGCAGATTCAACAAACGCTCAGAGTGTAGCTACGTTCCAATATTCTAAATGCAAACAACTGACAACCCCTCAGCCAGCTGAGAATGAAATCTGTTTCAGTTTAACCTTCCTTCCAAGATGATAGCGATATTAGACAGATTTTTGACGCCTTTACAGTAATTATTACACATTGCACCTTTAATATTTGACCAAGATTCTATACATCCATTATTTTCTTTTAATCTACTATTAAACTTGATGAATAAAATCATGAAACGTTAGAAAACCGTGGTGAAATTCAAGGAGGAAGAATAAAATTAATTGTATTTAATCCAAAATTAAACACCAGAGCTCATAAAAAGTTCTCTATATTCTCGAGTATGTCCCTAAACAAATATTCATGTTTTTAAAACAAGGTTCATATTCTGTGCCCACTGTGTGTTTGTTACATATGAGCATGCGCAAGGCTGAGCCCAGAAGCTTTGTCTTCATTCAAATCCTTTTAGGTGAAGAAAGTGGCAGAGGCAAGACAGACAGAATATCGCCCTTCTCTCCTGCTGCACATGTGAAAATATGAGATGGTCTGCAACTCCTGAGAGGAATAAGGTAGTGTGCAACAATAAAACACACACCAACCGTATAGCAAACACACACACGCTAAAACACAACCGTTTTGCTTTCACACACACATGCACACGCACATTTGAGCACCATTCCATACCAGATCATATTTCCATGAGGGCAGTGACCGCTGGGTGTGATGAGACTCCTGGGGAATGTCCTAGAAAATATTTACATGTTTTATTTCCTGTTAATAATATATTTTAAATAAAAATTAAACTTGAGGACATAAATAAATAGATAAGCGTGAGAAAATGTGCCCATTTTTCTTTAGTCCTTTTCACAAAAACCTGATCTAAAGCAGAGATGCTATAAGTTTGGAGTAAATATACCTGTATAGTTTTGTACTTACTGAGTAAATATGAATCTTCCGGTCTCTCCCGACAGCAATCACATAACTTCAAAAATAAATAACGTGATTTTCAGGATGGATTCTGATTAATATTAAACAGTGACTAAAAATCACATCATTACTCACAAATTAGTCTGAACTTCCAGAAAGGTGCAGTCCCACAGCTCCTGGCCTTTATCTTCTGAAAGAGTAGAGAAGCCTTTTTATCAACAAACATGTTTATTTCTCATTTCTAGGCGGAGGTAGGAACGTCAAATACCCTTTTTTAATGTTTTCAAGCATTGGCCGTTGTTAAAGTTCCATATTTTCAAGCATCCATCTCTCCCACCTGTGATGAGCCTATAAACACATAGACATAATATCAAGTAATATGCATTAACTTCATGACGTTTGTAGACGCTTAATGAACTGTACCTCCTCCCTGTGGAGTCAAAGGTCATGCATGTGATAGAGTTCAGATCATCTGTGCAACCAAACTCAAACATCTGACGTCCGGTGTCCAAATCCCAAACTTTCGCCACCTAAAACCAGTTTTAATACACAATTGTCTTCAATGTTTTGCATTGTTGGGATCTCCTGCATGATTTTAAACGTTTGTTTACTCACAGAACCCTGACTGCAGCTCACAACTTGGCGCAGCTCCTCAGAGCAGCCACAGCACACCACAGGGTGTTGATGAGACACATGCATGCGACTGTGAAACTGCGGTCTGACAGAGGAAACAAAACACCACCACTAAAAGTTTTATTAATATTAGAGGGCTGTGAAACACGTAAAACCTTTAAATCATCCAGGAATGTTTTTAGAAAGTAAATGCCAAATCCTCCCACCAGGAAACATTTAAAATCTTCATCTGTGATGTTTTTGTTCCATTTTCACAATCCATCCTTAAACTATAGTTCACTTGAGGAAACTTCTCAAAACATCTTCAAGGCACAAAAGAAAAGAAGATGGCACCAAGCTAAGACAGCCAACCTGGACTTGAGGATGAGCAGAGCCATACAGTCTGCTGCAATATATAGGTGTTTGAAAGCGGGGGAATACGAGGCTGCAGAAACAGCTTCATGAATCCCGCTGGCTTTGGGTTCTGCTGTGAAGAGACAACACTGGTCCTCGATGTGCCAAATCTGAAGAAAAAAAGTGTACAAGGACTAATAAAAGACTATGCACAATGTTTACTAATGAAAACTTAGCAAGACCACTGCTGCTGCTCCATTTTAATCATAAATATGAACTCAAATGCACAATCACGGCTGTGGTATTTGTTAATAATGTCTGTATTTTAATCAGTAAAAAAATACTTTAAAGGGGTTCTAGAACAATATTTTTTACAGTTGGAAACTGTGGGATCAATAAAGTTTATTCTATTCTATTCTATAAATCATGTGGAACTTTGTTGGGGCTCAAAATAGCCCAGGAGCTCTGATAACTGGCCAAATACTGCCCCATAATAAAGTCCTACAAGGGAAAAACTGGTTAGCTCCGCCCACCTGGCCAGGACATAAATGCCAACGGAGCTGTGTGCTGATTGGCTGGTTACCCCAAGGGCTCTGAATAGCTGCCTAAGGCTAGAAATTATTTTGTGTGTGTGTGTGTGTGTGTGTGTGTGTGTGTGTGTGTGTGTGTGTGTGTGTGTGTGTGTGTGTGTGTGTGTGTGTGTGTGTGTGTGTGTGCAGACAAACGAGGAATGAAGCGAAATGTGGGCAGGGCGTGGTGCTTAGGTTTGCGGACGGGAGGAGAACAAGCACCACAAGCTGTGGATCTATCTGGTATCTGTTATAGTCCAGATATTCCCAGTACATCCTGGAACGTGAGCGCTCCCCTGCTTGGAAAAACCAGCACAAACCAGCGTAGTTGGTTACCAGTGTGTTTTAATGCTGGTTCAGCAAGGGATGCTGGTCAAGCTTGCTGGTCCAGCATCCAGTCACCAGCATCCCATGCTGGACCGGCGCACCAGGACCAAAACGCAACATGTATGCGTTTAACCAGTTATGCTGGTCTTCACTGGTTTTTCCAACTGGGTCCAACCCAGAACCTGCCTATTTTCAACATCAACAGGTGCTTTTAATTCTAGCACCACTTCAAACCTGCACAATTTGAATGTTGTAAATGAATGTAAAAAGCACTGATTCACCTTCGCAGTGCCGTCAACAGAAACAGAAAAGATCTGACAGTCTTCTGATAAAATGTAGAGGCGGAAGATGGGAGCAGAATGGCCTTTCAGAACACACTTTGGCTTCCTAAAAAGAAAAACGTGAATCAAAAAGGACCCATTTCAGTGACATTTAGGTGATTTTGTCATTAAAAGAGATCCCAAATTCTGGTTCCTCACCCTGAAAAATATGGGCTCCACATGCGTACGAGTCTGTCCATGCCCCCAGTCACGAGCAGGCTGTGCTTCTGACAAAGGTCAAAGGTCTTCACACCTTTGTGGACGGAGAAGACGGTCTGATCACGAGACACCCGAACCTGTGGAGTCCAGCTCAGTTGGACCTTCCTAGTTTTACCCTCAAAGCCGACCTCTGTGATCTCCTTCAGCTGCTGAGCAGAATCTGTAAAAGGCAGCACGCAGCCTGAAGAGGAGAAAGGGTAAACGCATTACACCACAAGTACCGGCATCAATCAAAGTGTGTTTTTGGACTAGGGGTAAGTCATTATCATAAAAAATGATCATGCTTCTAAGTAAACATGTCTACACACAAGGTGATCGCACACACGCAGACACACACTTGCACTGATTGGTGAATTTGTGATAAATGAAAGATCACAAGTAATCCCTCACAGGTCTCAAACCAGCATCCTCAATGATTAATACTGAGCTTAATTAGGTACGCTTTAAAGAGAAAGTGCATTTTTGAAATGCATCAGGATAGACTGTTCATCTCTCTACTGAGCTGTATTTTAGGTCTGTTTGCTGAACAGATACAAAAGCAAAAATCATGGACGTAATTTTCACTTTAGAAGTGGGGGGGACACTGGGGTGGCGGTGGGAGGGGTATCTTTACAGTAATAGGAAACAGGCTTCAACTCAAAAGGTTGTTTTCTGCTTGGTCCTACAGCTCAACCAGTGTCAATTTAATATAAAGTAATATTGTTTTTGGATGGTAAAAAGTGCAGGGGTCAAAACTTAACTTTGGAAAAAGTGGGGGGGACATGTGTCCCCCCCCCCCCCCCCCAAAAAACAATTACGTCCATGGCAAAAATAAAAAATGAATAGAAATTACCAACAACAAGAGAAGAAGTTTCTTCATTTGATGACGACACAACAGCTCGAAAACTGTGGAAATATTTTGCCTGCATTCAGAAAAAAATAGGTTGCATTACAGGATAAAAGTAGAAATTGTTTTTGATTTTAACCCCATTAAGTTCACTGTGTTTGGTTTCAGATGCATCTTTGTAAAATCCGGAAAAAATATGATAATCCTTTGAAACAAGATACTCTAAAATTGACTAGAATTCCCTTCACCTGTTTCCTTTTAGACATGAAAGACCTTCTGCAATATTTTATATGCTGACAGGGAAATCCTGGCTGAACACAAGATGAGTGCCCTAAAGCAGAAAGGAGGCAGGAAGCAAATAGATGGATGAGGAGGAGGAAGTATTTCAAGGTAACTTCGAGGTGTTGCAAAGCAGTTGAAACGAACTTCAACAAGGCAGAAAAAAACCCAATTAAATACTATTAAAAAGAACTTATAATCAAAAACAATTTGTATACATTTCTGCAAGTGTTTTCTGCCCTCTGATGGTGGATATAGGTATTGCAGAGGGTGAGCGCCAATTTTCTTTCTTTCTTTATTATTGTGTCATATCAGTATTTTGAGTTTTATTTATTTGAGTCCGTGTTTTCAAAGCCTGAAGGTCAAAATATCTCATTAACTTTGTTTAAAAGTCTGGATTTCAAAGCTGTCTCTCATAAGTGTATTTGTTTTGACATGATGAACACATTACCTGTGTCACCCAGTCATGATGAACCTTCCACCTGACAAAAGTCACATGTTGAGCCAGCACTGCGTGTTCAATGGAAATGTTGGGTATGTTCTCAATCATCGGCAATTTGCTCCATTTTCTATAAAACAGCAGAAGTTGTGTAATCAGGAAAAATTCTGTCAATTGAGATTTGAGGAACAGCATGACATATCTGGCTATGGTGCTTTTAAAGTCACACTGTAATTTGAAATATCCATTTGGATGCAGGGAAATTGAGCACTTATGCGTGAAAATGGTACCTGAGGGTGTCGTCAACAGAGGAGATTAAAAGGATGGTCACACAGCCCTGTAACACGAAAATCCTCCTGCTTTTAATGCTTCAAACCTTTAGACGTTTGATTGGATTTGAACAAAAGGACCAACCTCAGTGTCTCCATACAGAAGACAACATTCATCAGAGCCAGTGCAGCTGAATGAGCAGGGACGGCATCAGTATGGAAACGATTACAGGCTCCTCTCAAAGTAAACGCAGTTCTGATGCTCACCTGTAGTCCAGAGTCAAAGGGATGGTGCTCAGGCAGCTGATCTGACAGTATGGTTCCAGAGTGAAGAGATCATACATCTGAACCTCTCTGTCGCTGCAAAATACGGATTTCAAGCACAATAAATGCAGGCGAAACAAGATCAGACTTAATAAAAGGAATTATTATGTTTGAATGATGCAGTTAGGAATCGTTACCCCGTTCCCATTATTAGCTTGTTGTGTTCTGGCATCAGAGCAAAATCACTGACCCACTTTGCCTTCCTGTTAGCCGGTCCCTCGCCCTTTTAAACAAACCAGATCTCATATTAAAACATTTTCATCACTGAATATAAGTGGAGCTTTGGACCAAAGATAAAGAAAAAATAAATATTCTTAGCTCAAAGTTATGATTTTTACTTGCTTAACTAATTTATAACCGTGCTTTTACTGAAAATACAAGTTATTTGATCACATATGCTTGATAAAGTGGTGCTTGACAAACAAACAAATAAGTAGTGGAAACAGAGCAACTCCTCTACACCACACAGCATTTTAAGATTTAACATGAAAGAAATTATGACAACTGACGTAAATTAATTTTGATAAAAGCTGACATAATATGATTAAATGCAAAAATTAACAAAAAAATCAGTTTTTTTTTATCTTGTTTGAAACTATTTTAGTATTCTTCATCATATTTTTCACTTTTTTTGTTGGCTAAATTGTAGCAAAAATGTAAAATAATGTTTAGCTTTTATGGTTTAAATATATTTATTGTAAAAATCAACATTTGCACCGATTTTTTTGGTTTTGTTGGTCCAGACGTGGATTTTGCATCCAAGGATCTCTATTAAAGATGGAGCAAGTAAGTGGAAACACACAAACAAGCAAACAAACAAACAAACAAAATTAAAAGCATATTTCCAGACGTTTGAACATACAAACATGTATTTGGTCTTCTGCGGTTTAAGTTCAGGATTCCAGAGACAAATAAACCCGTCTTCTCTCACTGTCACCGCCGCGCCGTCGTCAGCACACCGGATGTTGACGATGGGAACGCCTTGATCACAATTCCTCATCAAAGCCGGCAAACTGAAGGCCACCTGCTTGGTGCGTCTCACTGCTTCCTCCTTCTCTTTGTACACCTGAAGCATGTATGAGAAGAGCTCCCCCTGCATCACACCACTTACTGTTAGGGATTATAATTCCAGATTATAGTTTATTCTTATCAGATCCAAACCAGAAATCGCAGGAATGTTTGCCAACTTATTGCTAATTTATTTGAATAAAAAATTAGTTCCACTCAGTCGTGTTTGTGCCTCCTGCACGTCACATAATCTACTCTTGAAAGACGTTGATCTTTTTTGGTTAATTAAGGTGTAGTGACATGAATGGTCTAATTTGTGACCTAAAGGTCACACTTCCTCAGCTGGGTCAAGCTGTCCTGGCTGCACTTCTATCTACAGATTATCCGTCACAGGAGACGCGAAGTCTGCTGTAAACCATCTTTAATCTGACTGCTGTTCCATCCGCAAGACGAAGGACACTTCAAGATTTAAAAGAATCATTTTTAATAAACCCTTTTCACTTTCTATTGCAATGTTCATAAATAATCATCAAGGTTCATTATAAATGTATTTAATTACTGAAAAGAATTATTATTCTTTGGTTAATAATAATTATTATTTATGATAAACAGTAATGTTTAACAGTGAGAAGAAGATCATGTGCACTTATACACATACTGTGCAGGACACAGTAATCAGGTTAAGGTTAACTGCACTCACACGTCTTTGTCACATGACAACCCAGAACTTTCTATCTTGAGAGGGCGTGTCCTGAGGTATGCTAAGTCCCACCTTCTAACATGTCAAAATCTAATTCGTTAGAATAAGATTACCGGACGTCTCTTAAAACCTAACTCCTCAGTTCAAGTTCATTGGGCTGCATGGTGGCGCAGTTGTTAGCACTGTTGCCTCGCAGCACAAAGGTTGCAGGTTCGAAACTCGGCTGCGGTCTTTCTGCGTGGAGTTGTGTGTTCTCCCCATGCATGCGTGGGTTTCCTCTGGCTACTCCGGTTTCCCCCACAGATCACAACATGTCCTATAGGTTATAAACTGTAAGTCGCTCTGGATAAAAGCGTCTCCTAAATAAATAAACATAAGTTCAGTTCTCGAGCTCACAAAATTCTCCCTGTGGCACGAGAGTCCAGATCGAGTTCTGTCACGCCGATAGAATTGCTTCAACAGAAACACCATCTGCAAAAAGCGGACGCTACGAGATTCCTTCAGAATCTGCTCAGACGCAAAACCATCCACCTGTGTGCCTGCGCCAACTCTAGGACCAGAGAGTCGGTACCACTGGTCTCCTCTACCAGACCGGGCACCCAGAGGCTGATCAACATCTTCCCTTGACCTCCGGATCCAAACAGAGGGTCGTCTGAATGGTGAGGTAGAACACAAGATTGTGTCTAGATGCCTGATTATTAAGAAATAATTTAGCTTAACTGCAAACCAAATTCTTTCACCCAGAACGTGTTTTTCTCTCTCTAAGATAAAAACCTTCTGAGACCTGCATTCACACATTCAAACACACACACTTCATTTTTAGTTCCATCTAGACACAGATTGCTTTAATACCAAGTTTTTAATACCAAAGCTTTTATAAATTGTCATTTATGAATTGTCTTTTAAAATTGTCATCTTTAAATTGTCAGTAATAAATTCTTCACTTTTTAAACCTGACTCTTCTTGAAATAAAACACAGAGTGGTGTATATTGATCATTGAACGAGCAAAGATCTCTTTAGATCTTCTGAATTAATAAATAAACTTTTGCTATTAATTTAAATCTCTTAAATTAAATTTTAATCTTTTGACTAAATATAAACCAAGCCAGTTGGCATATGAACTTCTATTGATTATATAAATGTAGCATAGACAATCTACCTACTAGGATTTAACGCTGTTTTCTATCAGCTTTGTTAGATCCTGAGAAAGATACACAAATTAGCATATGAAGCTTATATCATGTATAAATATCCAGGATATTTATACAATCGATAGAAGTTCATACGCCAACCGGCTTGGTTTATATTTAATCAAAGATTAATATTTAATTAATAGCAAAAGTTCATTTATTAAACCAGAAGACTTAATGGAATCTTTGCTTGTTCAATAACCAAATATACACCATTCTGCGTTTCATTTCAAAGAAGAGTCAGGTTTAAAAAGTTAAGAATTTATTACTAACAATTTGAAAATGACAATTTAAAAATGACAATTTATAACAGCTTTGATATTAAACTTGGTATTAAAAGCAACCCTGTGTCTGAATGGAAACTAAATTGAAATGCGTGTGTTTAGATGCGTGGATGGAATCTCAGAAGGTTCCTATCAGAGAGAGAAATACGTTCTGGGTGGAAAAGTTGTTTTGCAGCTAACTAAGTTGTTTCTTAGAGAGAACAGCATCGGACGCTATCTGTCGGAAGTGTCTACCTCACCCAGTTAGGAGACCCCCTGTTGGATCCGAGATGTCAGGAGGAGATGATGACCTCCGAGCACGAGGTGGGTAGAGGAACCGTAGTGCGACCAAATCGGTCCTGAGATGTCTCCGGGTCACAACGACTGATGGAACTGGTTGTGTCTCAAAAAAAAAAAACTCTGAAGGAGTTTTGCGTCAGCTGGTGCAGGTGGCGTTTATTCGGAGCAATTCTATCTGCGTGACAGAACAGCTTAGGTGGAGGCTTCGGGCGGCCGACCCTTATCCTCTGGGACTCTCATGCCACGGAGAGTCTTTGGTTGGTTCAGAACTGAACTTGAACTGAGGAGTCTTTGGTTTTATTAAAACTCAGGACACGCCCTCTCAGAGATAGAAAGCTTTGGTTATGGAGCAAAGACGTATGAGGGTGCAGTTACCTTTACCTGATTCAGTCCCATGCATGGTGTGTACAAGTCAACATGGCCTTCTGGTTACTGATCAAACATAACTGATTATCATAAATAATAATTATTGTTAACCAATGAATAATAAGGCATTTCAGTAATTAAATACATTTATAATGAACCATGATAATTATTTATGATGATTATTTATGAACCTTGTAGTAAACAGTGAAAAGAGTTTATTAAAAATTATTATTTTAAATCTTGAAGTGTCCTTCATCTTAGGATGGAACAGCAGTCAGATTAAAGATGGTTTTAGCAGACTTTACGTCTCCTGTGATGGATAATCTGTGGACAGGAGTTCAGTTTGACCCAGGTGGGGAAGTGTGACCTTTGGGTCACAAATGAGGCCATTCATGTCGCTACATAAATATCCGTGGATATATATACCTATGTGTGTGTGTATATATATATATATATGTTTCATTGCCAGTTTGTTTGATCTTTCTCGGGATTATGCAAAGCTGAATAGCAATAGCGTTAAATTACAGTTATGTAGATTAACAACGCTACAAAGGATTAGACGAGGATTGAAACATCTTCTCACCCATGAAATTCTTCCTTGAGCCGAGGAATCGATCTTTTTAAACAGTCCATGAATTAGTGCGTCGCTCTGTTGAATATGAAACACAAAAGCAGGAAGAACTTGTCATTTTTTCATTTGAAATAATCCTGTTTTTGGTTGTTGATTAGAGATTAGAAGACAGGAAGGGAGTTTCACCCTGTCTCACCATGTTGGGCAGAGCTTGAGCCTTTCTGAGGAGGTGTCCAAAGGTCTTCACTGAAACGCCTCTCATGCCACGATTTTCAAATTCCTTCACAAGAAAAAAAAAGGTCTAATTGATGATGCACCTGGCTAACTCTCCAAAAAAGGCTTTTAAATTACCTCAAAAGCTGATTTCAGTTTCTGGAGGTTTTCCAGTGATATTTTCTCATCAATCTAACAAAGAACACAGAGAACGGTATAAATATGAATCACATTTATTATAGATATTACATTTATGACGCACAACAACAACAAAAAAACCCTAATGAAATTGTTTTTCTGTTTGTTATGCCCACTCAGATCCACTCACCAGGTGGTACATAAAGTCTGAGCGTTCAAATCAGAAACGAAGGTCAGACGGCAGATTTTTACAGCAAACGCCATCATCGCCCAGGCTCTGGTTCCGCGTGATGACCCCATCAGGACCACCACTCACACACACGGCCACGCTCTCTGCTTTGACAGCTGCCTGAAGTTTTTCACTGGTCTCCTAGCAACTGATGCTTGAGCCATGAAGCTCTTTGATCTACTATTAATGAATAACAGGTATAAACAGCTTAATTCCTCAAGGATGTAACTCGAGTGGAAGTTTCCCCACGGTGTTTTCTGAATTGGTAAGATAACTGTTTAATCAGTCAAAGCGATGAAGGAAGTGAGAGAAAGTTCTCGCGTAACCTCCACTCGCTTTCCAAATCCCTTTACAGGGGATGCACAACTTTGAACTCCTAATCTGTCATGGCACATTGCTCTTTACGTTCAGCAAGAGGAGTGTGACTGACATCTTCAAGCGAAACCCAGACACTTGGGCCGGTGCCTCTTGCAACGCAGCCTCCTACGTCGTCCTATCGTCGCTGTCAGCCTGAAAGCACAAATCTGGAGATGTTTTAAGCAGTTGGCTCGGCTACTATGTTTGTTTTACTTTGGCTGCAAGCACCCTGGCACTGGGAGGGGTCGTGTTGCCTGGTGTACCGTCAAGCTGTGTGGAAACTAATCGTCAACTTTATTGGCCTTGGCATGTTTTTGCATTCCAATACATTCTTTTTGCCTCTCAGTTAAAGCCGACAGGGTGAGCACTGTAGCATGCTAGTGACATCTTCAGGCTAAAAGCTGCAACTTTCTAAAAACTGGAGATTTAAATGGCATCACACAAGGACACAAAATCAATAAAACCTTTGTTTTATCTGATTTGGCATGGATACTTGTAAAACGGTACCTCCAAGCTGCAGCTTGAATGGACATTGCTGTGCAGTTGTCTTGTGATGTGGACATCTGGGACCGAACGTCTCCGTTTGTTCTGTTTCAGCCGCTCTCTCACCAACCATTCAGGCTGTTTCTCTTTGGCCCCTTCAGCTAGTTGAGGGACTGAAAAGTCCTGACCCCCCGGCCAAAGCTCATTCCTGGTATTTTTCTCTGGACATCCCAATTCGGAAAGGATGCTGCAAGATTTCACACTTGGATCACAAAGGTGTTTTGACATGTTTAATTTGCTATAATCTTGAATTGTGGGAAGAGCTAAAGAAAATAGCATCAGAAGAAATGTGTAGTTTATCATCATGCATTTCATCTCGGGAATATGTTTAAGTTTCCCAGGAATGCTGAAGAGTTTAAGCATGAGAATATTTCCTGAGCACGAAGAAGAAGGGAGTCAAGGCCTGAACTTTAAAGGTGTGAAACACCGTAAAACAATTTTTAATGATTATTTCTGACTATAATCAGTCTCACTGAGTGTTTCATGCAAGCTGAGCATGAAAATAGTCTCCTACACCTATCTCCTGCATTAGCTTCTGGTAGAAAATAGACGATGAAGCTCTAGGATTAGAAAATCCTGACAGATCTGTGTCACACTGTCACCTAACATTCATGAACTCACCCATCTAGACTCACAACGGGGAACGCTGTTGTTGGTTTAGCGTCCAGGAAACAGCAGAGAACGTCTCAGCTAATAGAAGCTAACTGTTAGCATTAGCAACTCTACCACACAGCAGAACTCCTTCAGGCTTGTGTTATTTGTGGAGATAAAACATCGACTTTGCAGAGTAAACAGAGTCAGTGGGAGATTTGCGTTGCTGTTAGCCAATGAGAGGCGAGATTTCCAAATATCAGGAAATAAGACTCAAATCCTGTCATCCGAAGCTACTTTCTCCTCCAGTTGAATTCTCTATGCTGATACTAGCGCTTCTGTGCTTTTTCCCCCCAGAGTACGACTTGCACGGCATTCATTCCTACCAGAGACCACTTCAAATGCATTGATGAAACGAGTGAGCCACACCTTTAAGTCTTATTATTTAATCTGAACGTTGTCCAAATACATTTGCAGCTGCATCTGAAGGAAGTTAAACAGTAATCATGAGTCAGAAACATACCTGGTCACATTGGTTTCTAATCTTCCTGATGCCGAAGAAGAACGAAGCTTTTTCCCAAAAGACATTCTGGATTTGGTCTTTTCCATGTTGTTGTTTTGATTATCAACAAAAGTAAAAGACTGTCTTTAGTCTGTTGGAAGAACAGATCCCATGGTCTACCTGACACTCGGTCTAAGATTACACCTGTAGAGCAGGTGGTGCCGCGGTAACCAAGAAACCAAAGTGGAACAACTACAACCACAACAGTTGTGGAGGGAATAAACACCTCTCATCATGCCTCATTTTGTTTTAACACTTAGAAATGTTTAAACCATAATTTAACATTTTATTGTAGCTTTAAGCAAAACATAAAAAGAATTCTGAGGAAATCTGCATAACTTTTCCCCTTGAGTTCATCATTTTGTTGAGCTTCTAACAGACAAGGTCAAACTCAGAATTTTTGTTCATTAGAGTAAAATATTACATAAAAGCCACACACAGCTTCACCAATTATTCAAAATAATGGTATAGGCCTTGATCCTGGCTTCCGTCATCAGAGTATGCGGCTGTTGTGTTCTTGGGCAAGACACTTAAGCTGCCTTGCCTGCTGGTGGTGGTTGGGGGGACCGGTGGCGCCTGTGTTTGGCAGTCTCACTTCCTGATATTTAAGGAAAGTCTTTGTGCTCAAATGAAATGTTTGATTCTCCTTTCAGAGAATGATGTAAAAGATGCATAATGAGTCTTTGATGGTGAATACTTAATGAAACCCTGCAACTGAACAAAAACAAGTCAGTGTACTTAAACAGATGTAGTTTCTTATGACCTTGGTAAAAATTTTTTTCACCATGGCTAAATCCTGCTTCATTTAATTTACAGATTAAGTTACTTTCAGACCACAAACAGTCACAATTTTTGTGTTTTGTTGTTTGATTTTCAGACGAAAATATTCCATAAATATATTCCCATTATTATTCTCCAATGCTTTGTTTTATTATTATATTTAGTTTTTAAAGATGATCTTGGTTTGAATTTAAATGTATTGTTTTTATTTTCAGAAACCTACATTTTTAAAGGGAATTCCAGCAAAAACAACATCACTGTTAGACAATGTCTAAAACTGAAATGTTCATAATTTTCAAGACGAGGGCCCAATTATTTTAGTTAAATGTTTTTATTTGGAAAAAAGCAAGTATTTTCAGGGGAATGTTTTATTTGTATTGCTGTAAAAGGGCTATTATCATTCAAATATGAACATAATTTTTAAAAAAATATGAAATCCACATTAACAGCCTGCTGGAGAGATAAAATTCCTTTTCTAAAAATGCAAACGGCCTCAACAACTACAACTAATACCAAACCCAGCGATGTAAGTTAATTCTGGTTTTCCATTCATGTTTTTTGTTTCCAAAGTGTGGAAAATGAGATTTTTAAACATATTTTTTATTTCTTATTTGAACAACATACTTTGCAGCAGTTTCACCAACATTTCTCCACTGAACAAATGCCTTTTCTGTTCTATTCTTAGAATAAACAAATAAATAAATGCATTTCTAACACATATTCTAAAAAAACATTCTGTCAAGTTACTAAAACCTTACCTAACCTAATAGTTTGTGTTTACGCCACTGCCTGTTTACTGTCTGTTTTGCACACTTTGACTTTAGCGCCATCCTTTGCGCAGCCAACCGCGCCACCAGCAGGCCTGAGGCGCAGCGCGTCCAATAAGAACCACCAATGAGTTGGCGGCAGCCAATGTCCGACAGCCGGAGCCCAACACACCGGATAACCACAGACGAATCCCCGCAGCCGAAGGAGCCGAAAGAGCCGGAGCTTCTCGTCCCATTGTTCTATACGCACGACTGTCCGAAGGCTTGAGGTGAGCATCCTGCACCCCACAAACAAGGCTACTAGCTTCTGAATCTGCAAGTGTGATCAGTATACACGCTAGCTAATGCCTGATGGGATGCTAACTGTTTGTGCTATTTATCATTGTCCTGTTAAGGCGTCTAACGCTTAAAATTAGCTGCTGGTACGAATGTACGTTCGCTTATGCAGTAAAATATCTACCCCGTGGGTTAGCGACGTCATGTCGTGTGTAAACAGAACGGAGGGAAAATGCGGGCTAGCTGTGTTGCTTTAGCTTCCACGTAAAAGCTAACGCTAGCTTGTGCTAAACTGTTACCGCTGGTGCTGAGGCAACCCGCCTGCGATGACGGGGAGCATCTTCCCTCACATAGTGGGCCACTTTTTAATAACACTTTTATTAGCAATGCAAAAATTCTTAATAAAATTAATGTTGTTTACGTCAACGGGCAATGAGCTGCTAACACGTAGCCTTTGTTTAAAAGAACAGTACGCCAGTCATTGTTGGCAGTCTAATCAGCCATTTTAATGACGGTCCCATGATATGCGCCTAGCCTAGTTAAGGCTAGCGCCAGCTCGGAGAACATAAAGCAAAGAGCCGCAGTGGCTAATAGCTAGCGAGCAAAGGAAGACATGTAGTTCGCTGTTTCATCAAGTTAGCGCGATAAAATCGCGGATGGCTGCAGGACACAAATAACGGTGAATTAAATCATGTTTATTTAGATGTAGGAATCCTGACGTTGGCCTCTTCATACAATGGATCATCAGTCACTCCCCCTCCTCTTCCTCCTCCTCCTCCTCATCATCCTCCCTGTTTAAACAAAAGATGAGACTCTAACAAAGCAGGAGACAGGCGGTTCAGCAGGGGGAAATTGACATATCGTTGCTCATATAACTGAACTAGACGGATCTTTTTGTTTGTTTGTTTATTTATTTATTGTCTCTTCAGTGAGCCAAGATGGTGAAGGATCCGAGTAAGCCGAGGGGCAAAATGTCCTCATATGCCTACTTTGTGCAGACATGCAGAGAGGAGCACAAGAAGAAGCATCCCGATGCATCTGTCAACTTCTCAGAGTTTTCCAAAAAATGCTCAGAGCGATGGAAGGTAGAATGAAAGAGTCAGCCTCATTTTCGGTACTTATTTCTCCATTCAATTGTTTTAGATGATCAAAAGTTGTAATTTCCCCCAAAGACGATGTCACCAAAAGAGAAGGGCAAGTTTGAAGACATGGCCAAGCAGGACAAGCTGCGTTATGAGAAGGAAATGAAGAATTACATCCCCCCTAAGGGTCAGAGGAAGAAGCGGTTCAAGGACCCGAACGCCCCCAAGAGACCACCGTATGTGCCAGAATTGAAGAATCCTGCTTTTGTGGCTGTTTGTTCCATTTCACACTGTGATAACCTGTTTCTTTTTCCTGTCTTCAGGTCTGCTTTCTTTCTTTTCTGCGCCGACTTCCGCCCCAAGGTAAAAGGTGAGAATCCTGGACTGTCCATTGGGGATACGGCAAAGAAGCTTGGAGAGATGTGGAACAGCTCATCGGCAGAAGAGAAGCAGCCGTACGAAAAGAAGGCAGCTAAGTTGAAGGAGAAATATGACAAGGTAAATATCTACCATGTCGTTTAAACTAGGCCTGAACGACTTTAGAAAAAGATTGGAACAAAGTTAAAAAGAAAAATAAATGTATTTTGCAGAAATAGCTATTTTAATTCACAATTGTCTTCAAATCAAGCTTCAACACACTATTCAGTGTGCAGTAACATTTACAAACGTGACGGGAAATGACCTACCATCAAAACGTTCAAATGTATTGTTCTAAAAATGCAATGATGAAAACTAGAGGGAAGATCTGGAATTGTTTCTTACAAAAATCACGCTTTAACACCAAATGCTGATGTGATTTACATGCCTACTTTGATTTACTGTAACTATGCAAAGGTTTGTATCTTTGCATAGTTACAGAGAGAGTTACGTTAATGTCCTTAATGCTGTTGCAAGAAGCCGGTGAATCAGCTTCTTTGTTTCTTTCTCCAATACGCGATCAGTGCAGAGTGAGACAGAAAATGGGCGACAGACAGCCAGAGCTATAAACATTAGCCACAGTAGAACCACAAAAAGAAAAAAACGTAATAAAGACCAAATTTGCCGCTGTGTCGCCTCAAACGTCTGTCTCCTGCAACGCCCACGGTAACACTTATCACCTCAGAAACCTCTGGATGTGTAAAATAGTTGACACAACATATCTTGGGACAGGGCTTTGGCGATCACATGACTGCGATCAGAAAACAGTCGATTGTTCAGACTTACCGGGCCTTTCCACCAGAGACATAAATGTCGCGTAACGTCTGCGAAGTGTAGTGCGCCGCAATAAGTCATTGTGGCGAACTGAACGTCCCAGAAGAGCCAAATTTAAAGAGCAAGTCACTCCAAATCAACATTTTTTTTGCTGATAAACTATATAAATGAGTGTCTGATCGTGCTGCAGACACGTGTAGTCAATAATTCGGCACTTTAGTGCATCTTAGTAAAAATAAAATACTCTGCCTATAACCCCCAAATTCCACTACCTCCGCTCCGGTCCGCCCCCGCCTTCCGCAGCCGCTCGCTTCCAAACTCAATTTTTACTGGTACCCGCTCTACAACGGCTCCGCTCCGGTGCGGAGACCTGAGGAAACAAACAAGCATGCGCGGGATTTTCGAGATCTTGCGATACAGTCCGAGCAATATACGCGGAAGTTAGATCCAAACACCCGTTGTGTGGGAGAAGCATCGAAATGAACTGTTTAATCTGCCCATCATGTGTGTTGAGAGATCAGCAGTGTTTGGATCAACAAAGTGTGACTACTTTGATAGTGGAAACTGTATTTATGGCTTAATTTTGTGCATTTAAACTTCAGCCGCCATTGATAGTGGTTAAAAGTTGTTAAATCTGTGCATATGAAACAAAAAACGCATTTTGTTTATCGATTTATTGTGAAAAACGGAAATTGTGCTTGCTCCTTTTCCTGTTGGGCCGTTGTGATTTCTGTCCATTTACTGTGGAGGTGCTCCGGCGTCCGGCGAAAATAGGATCGATTCTATTTTTGCCGGACGCCGGAACAGAGGGCGGCGCACGGCGCCGCACTGCCGGAGCACGGCCGGAGCACGGCCGCAGTAGTGGAATAGCTCTGATTGACTACAACGGGACCGATTTTGCTCCGGCGTTCGTGTCGGAGCGGAGCGCAGCGGAGCGGAGGTAGTGGAATTTGGGGGTAACTGTCAGCGTTGCACCGTCGTCAGGCAAAAACTCTGCACTGCATTCGAATTTAAATCTGCCATCGCTATTGGCTAAGAGGTACACTATGATGTTAGATGGTACATTATGATGTCACAATGTTGTGAGTGTGTGTATTTGTTAGCGGCTCCGCCCTCTCGGTCTGCTAGGCAACAGCATTTGTTGCATTTTTCAAACAGGAAGTGGGAGTTGAGTAAGAATCTGGCAGGGGGTGACTTGCTCTTTAAGCTTCAAGTCTATTTTTTTACGCGCTGCTCTAAAAGAATGTCTAGCTCCGCAGGTCAGATTGGTTCTAGACTGGAAGTCAAACACAAAAGTGGTGCAAAACATATGTAGACTTTGAAAATAAAGGTCACTTGCTGATTTTCAGTTTCTTAACTAGTAAATAAAAAGTGTCATTACCCGAGACATCGAGGTAAACGGAGCAAAAAACAAACTCTTTCTCCTTGCTTGTTATTGCGTGGACTGATGAAATCACGTGTGATCTTGCAATTCTCCTGTTATTTTGTGACCTCACGGCTATGTGGAACGCTTTCACTGCCTTTTGACGTCTGAAACGCTCCCGACTGGGAAGGAGCTTGTTGGTGAAAAGTGTTGATTGCATAAAGCTTGGTTTATGCTTGACGCGTCCGCGAGGTCCGCACGGCTCCGCGCGACGAAATTGCATCATTTTAACAACCACGCGCCTCCGCACGGCCCAAACTTTCCGCACCTAGGAAATTTTCTAACCACGCGGACGGTCGGACACGGAAAATATGGCGGACTGGCAAGAACTAGTATGGCAGAGGTTCGTAAATGCAGACATTTGTATGATTCAGCTCTCAAAGATCACCGTGATCAACATGTTGTTAATAATTCTTGGAGAGAAATAGCTCGCACTGTCGGAAAAGACGAGGACGCTGTTAAAAAATGCTGGAATGCCATGTTGTAAACAACAGTAATTTATACTTCTACTACGGTTTAGTGTTGGATGCATGCCATAGAGCTCCATGCTGCCCCCTACAGTTTGGGAGAATATTGGCTCACTGCAGAGACAAGCCGCATGAACCATAAACGCTGCAAGTTGTGAAGCGCGTTCCATCCGCGAGCCGCATCACCTAGCGGAAAGTGAATGCGTCAAGCATAAACCAAGCTTGGGAAGGGCGGGTTAACGTAGACTTCATCAAAACTTAATCCACATCATTTCCATGAGTTTGTGATTTAAATCGTCTCATTTCCCAACAGGATATCGTGGCTTACCGCACGAAGGGTAAGGTGGATTCTGCATCCGCCGCTGCAGCTGATGACGATGATGATGATGAAGAGGAGGGAGAGGAGGAGGAAGAAGAGGAAGAAGATGACGAGTAGACCAGATTGAAATGGGACCTGAAGTTTTGTTTATGCCATATAATCTTAATGTACTCCGTTCACCGTCTTGAATCAAAAGTCAAATTGAACAAGAAACGTGTATATTTAATGTTTTTATGATGTACAGTGTTAATCTCTGTTCTGTTTTGTAAAGATAACATACGTATCCTGAGTTTGGGATTTTTCTAGTGGTAGTTCTTTATTCCTGCCATATAATTCTATAACGATAGGACTATATCAGTATGAAAGTCACTTGTCTTTAGATGTTACAACTCAAAAATGAGATTTATGAGTTTGTAGTGTACTCTTTTTTTATTTTAAAAGTTATTTTTTTATGTGATGTCCCTTTTTAATTGTTCTTTGAATACCACTCTAATGCAGCTGTTGACATTAAAGAATGTCCCCAATAAAAGTTTTTTTTATTAACGTGTTTGTTTTGTTTCAACATCTCCGCCTAAAAATTGCCGATCGGAAACCAAACCGTGATTTATTTTTTGTGTTACTTTTAGGTTTACGGTCATAGTTTAAGTTTGTGGTGCTGATGTTTTATCTTTATGATTTAAGGAGATACGCGAGAGCATCAATAATGAAAAATATTTGAATTAATTGAAAATAAAGTGGCTTTTAAATGCTGGCCTTTCCATTTAAAAACCGCTAAAACAAAATCCAACATTTTGAATTAGCTATTGTTCAAAGCAAGTATCAGAAGGTGGTGCTGTAACACTAAATGCAACTACTAATTAATTCAGCTCAATAAATAATTTCATAAAAGCTGACATTTACTTTGATTTCCACCAAGGTCCCTTTGTTGCCGGAAAGCCAGAAATCACACCCAATGTAGTTTTATACAAATAAAATGTCCTGAACTAAATATGAGCCAAATAATCCCACTTTAATAAATCATAAAAAATTCAAAAGACATTAAATTAAAACAACCTTAAAGAGCAAGTCACCCCCAAATCAACTGTTTTTTTGATCAAATGCGTGTCTAATCGTGCTGCAGACATGTGTAGTCAATAGTTTAGTACTTAAGTGCATTTTAGTTCAAATTTAAATTTTCTGCCTAAAACTGTCAGTGATGTGCTGTTGTCGGGTAAAAACTGCACTGCAGTTGAGTTAATATCTGCCATTGCTATTGGCTAAGAGGTACCCTAGAACGTTAGCTGCTCAGGACGCAGATGTCTGGAGCGCGTCAACAATCAGAGCTTTGCATGGGCAAGCTGGTTAAGGTTAGGATGGGGTGAGGAGAAGGTTAAATTGCAAGAGGGTAAACGTCACAATTTGGTTAAATGTCCGTTTTACCGCGGGTGTCAGTACTGACGCTCTGGCACAGCGCGTCGCCTCCGCCTCCCGACGTGCAGGAGCTCGTCATCTGCTGTCTCGCTCATTATCACGTGACAGCGACTAGTCGATGACAGGCATAAAAAGTCACTACAGAGCAGTGAAGTCGACTAGTCGACTAGTTCATACAACCCCTAGTACGCACACAGGTGCTCACATGGTGCTCTCATAAGTATGGACTTGGGCACGTTCAACACATGTCTTAAGGCTGTGGTGGGCACTTAATGCAATGTGAGTTATTATCGCGTGATTGTTCAGTTAAACCATGTTGATTTTATATTTCATCATCAAGTTGACCCAGTGATAGCTTGCTCCTGTTGTATTGTTGTGTGTCCCTTTTCTGCAGGTCTAGAAGCAGACTATTGTTCATCATTGATTGTTTATTTTCGTGGAACCACCCCCAACCTTTGTCTCTTCCTTTCTCTTTCACCTCTGTCTCCGTGTCTGGTTGAAATTACAAAGCATTCAAAAACAATAACAATAAAGTTTTAAGTATCAGGCGTGACATTAAAAGCAGACACTTTGATGCTCCACCTGAGAGTAAAATCTGTAAGGCTTGTTACCAGCATTCAGACATTAATTCTGTTTACTTCACAGCCAGACAGGACACGGAAAAAAAAAATAAAAAATTCTGCCATCGCTATTGGCTAAGAGGTACCCTAGAACGTTAGCTGGTACACTATGAAGTCACAATGTCGTTGTGAGCCTGTGTGTGTGTGTGTATTTGTTAGCGGCTCCGCCCTCTCGGTCTGCTAGGCAACAGCATTTGTTGCATTTTTCAAACAGGAGTGGAGTAATGCTCTGGTAGGGGGTGACTTGCTCTTTAATGGATCGAAGAGCGATAAAACGTGAGCCTACTGCACATAAACCAATGTAAACCTTTCAAATTTCTATATTTCATGGCATCAATGTCTTGTAATAAAGTCACACCGTAGAATTAAAGAAATTAAGGAAGAATGGTGCTTTCTGTGTGCACTACTCCCCTTAATGACCTTTTAGATTTCGGGCTGGTTTTGAGTTCCAACTCGCAGTAATTAGAGAACCTTAAACGGGTTCACACGCTCGTCAACCAGACCCCTTTTTCTCCTATCTTTTCCTTTGAAGTGTTTGTTCTCAAAGTAAAACCACATGTTTTCACATTTCTGGAGACATTCTAGAAGAATAATCATAAACCAGACTTTTTATGGGTGCGACGTTTGTTTCGAGACTGCTGCACTTTGGCTGCATTTGTGCATCTAGTTTAATGTCAGCTGTCTTCTGAGACCTGGTATTGAGTGTCCACCATCTCCGCACCCCCTCTTATTTTACCCCCTTGAATAAAAGCTGTACAGTCTGAATGAATCCCCTTCACTGGCACGCTCAACAAAACTGCCCAAATGTAGCGACTGTTCAGTTTTCACGAGCAATCCCAGCAACAAAGACCACGGAGGGATCATGAAACGGGTAGAAACGTTTGGCAGGATTCATTACTACTGCTGCTTAGAGTCTGCATTTAAAGACAGAACAGAGTTTAAACAATGAAATGTACGCATTCTTGTTTTTGAGAGGATGTATGTCATTTTTTTCTTTACTTTCAACGCCTGTGGAGGATTTAGTTGATAGATTTATTGATTAGATAATATGCTGATTACAGTTTATTGTTGGTTTTTAGTAGATAATTGTACTTTTTGACTTGACTTTGTGATCATGACCAAGAAATAGGTACGTTAGGGGATAAAATTAAGATGGACTTTACTGGAAAACATACGGTTTTGTTGTTTCATGTTCTGGTAAGTCATTCTGATCATTTCTTCTGCTTTAATTAATCAATTATCAAATATAAGGACTGTAGGTAGAATGAAAAACCTACATGATATCTCAGGAATTTAAATTTCCTTAATATTTATTAAAAGGTTGAATGTTTATTGAGTAAAAGTCTCGTTTCCTCAGCTTTTCAGTACTGTGTCCTCGGATGAACCCTCCCTTGGAAACCCGGGGAATCTAAGTTTTGAGAGTGAGTTTGCGGACTTGATCGAAGGGCAGCATAAACTCCAGTCCTGGTATAATTCATCCACTGATGCTGAGCTCAAGCATGGCACAGTCAGCACACACTCTCACAACAGATGGACAGCACAGATGGCTTTCTCCAAAACTGTTTATTCATTTCAAGTGAAAGAAGACACGGTGCCAGGTTGGTTCCCCCCACCCCCGGAGAAGCACACATGCAACAACAGTTACTTTGATCCTTTTTGGGTTTGATGCAACTGGTTTTATTCCATAAATTTACATGAATTTGATGTTTCCAGTGAGTAGGGGTGTTCCTCTAACCTCCCATGTGTGCACTGTTTTGACAGGGACAGTTGTGGGAAAGGTGGGAATCCAGGGTGAGAGTCTCACGCCTATCACGTACCTGCTTCAGGAGGACGGTGGGGAGAACCTTTTCCTCCTCAGTCCCATCTCTGGGGAGTTCCTATTATCCCGCAGCCTGGACTTTGAAATACAAAGATTCTACATTCTCACCGTGGAGGCCCAGGAGGGGGGCTCGCAGGTGTCCGGTGTCAGGGTGTACTTCAATGTGCTGGACGTGAACGACAATCCTCCGGTTTTCAGTCAGGATAACTCCTCTGCATCGCTGCTGGAGGATGCACAAGTTGGTACCTGCTTCCTGTCACTGAATGTGTCAGATAAAGATCATGGTGAGAAGACCAACAACTTCTACACGTTCAGTCATGCTCTAGTTATTTATCAAACCTAGAGTTCAAGCACATATTCTAAATTACATAAATAAATAAAATCTACACTATGGTATCAACAAAAAAAAGGCCAAAAAGGAAAGCTGTCTTTGGCAGAAAAAAACCATGCTGGGAACTACACCCCCTAGTGGCTGCTTGAAACATCCCGCTTACTTGCATCGACTTTGGTTTGGGATACGAGGATAACATTCCTCCTACTCACCTACACACAATCATGGCGTTTTAACGCTTCAGATAACAACTTCTAACACAACATTTTGTAAATGCACATGTTAACATACACAAGCAAGATAAGAAGATGTGAATCAACAAGTCAGCACAAGAAAATCAAAATGACCTATGGGATGTTTTGGTCATTTAGTCAGGGTATGTGATGGACCAACTGGCCATGTCTTGGTAGCTTTGCAGTTACAGCATACTTTTTCCCAAATTAAAGCTGCAATAGCAAATTTGGAAAACAAATTGGCTTAAAACATTTTTTTCATGCCTTTTATCAACATTCTAACATAGTATAGCCATAAATATATCGTGAAGCTTAAAAAACAAAACAAAAAATTAATAAAATGGGTCATGTGCATTGCACTTGCAACCCTCCGCCAATGACATTTTTCAAACTGAAAGCAACCATTGGCCAATATGGTTGTCGGTCTTGTCGAACCGCCGCACTTCGTCCATTCATAACGCGCTCACATTTTTTTGCAACAGAAAACCACTGGAGCGAGAGAATCGCTCAATAATATCAAAGAAGGAGAAACAACCAGCTGCTACCACTTTAAATTTAGGACAAACCACCAGAGTCCCAAAAAGAAAAAAACACCATTAGAAGTCACTGACAACAAAAGACAATGTGTTTGCTTTCAAAAGCCAGCTTGTTTGCAGATTTGCTATAGCAGCTTTAATTGGCTGACGGAGAGAACGGTCCTCCGTTAGATGTCCAAAGTTTGTGGTATTTTATCTTTTTTTGTCATTACCGTGTCACCATTGGAACTTTGGAAACAATTCAACAGAGTTACAGATATTTTAGAATTTTTTTCCTTTATCAAAAAGAAAATTACAGATATTTTTTACAAAAGAAAAACAAATCAAGAAATGTCAAGTTTATAAAAAATATTTAAACAAAACAAAAAAGTTTTCTTTTTTTAAAATTTACTCAAAGATAATAAAAGAAGATCCATTTTGGATTCAGTTGCTTGATTTGTAGCGTTTATTTAATGATTTCTATGTAATGTGTTTAAAAATAAGCTGAAATAATAATGTCTGATATGATTAATGCAAACTGGTTTTCAAATACTCCAGAATAATAAAATAAAATGCAATTAATGATAGCAACTGATTGTCTTAAATGGAATAAAAACACCACTTCTAACAACAAAATAATATAAAGATAAAATAAACATGCGTGGTGAAAATCTAAATGTTTTCCTCTATTAGATGTAAATGCCTACATAGTTTTGTCTTTCATGTCTTCTTCTCTCTACTAGGTGATGGTGGAGAATTGGAACTGAGAGTTGTCAGTGGTAATGAGTTAGGGATGTTCATCTTGTACTCATCAGGTAGTTTGTGCCTGAACAAAGCCCTAGACAGAGAAACTCAGTCTTCCTATAATCTAACTGTGACAGCCAACGACTGTGTCCAGCCACTGTCTCTACAGCTCACCAGCACAGCACGTGTTTTTGTGTTTGTCGAAGATGTAAATGACAACGCTCCGATGTTCGTATCTGCCAAAAGTGTCAGCGTACCAGAAGATGCTGCTTTACATTCGCTTATAATGACCGTGCAAGCTGAAGATGAAGATGCAGGATCAAATGCATCTATTTTGTATCTTTTGAACAACGTTTCTGGTGCGGCCCTCCGCATCGACAACACAAGTGGAAACATCTACCTGGAGGAGGTATTAGACAGGGAAAAGGTGGACACCCTGACTTTTACTGTGACAGCCACCGACGTGGGTTCTCCTCGGTTGGAGACCACTATGAATTTCACTGTGATCGTTGAGGACGTAAACGATAACAACCCTGAGTTCTCACAACGGGACTACAGCCTGTCAGTCAGAGAGAATATCCCCAGAGGAACGAGCCTGTTTCACGTTGAAGCTCACGATCAAGACATTGGACCCAACGGGCAGCTACGGTACACGCTGAGCCCAGCTGGCCCCTTCGTGGTGGACACAGTTCGAGGTGTTGTCACAGTCATGGATCAACTTGACAGAGAAAGGGAGTCAAACTACACCTTAATTATAACTGCCGCTGACCGAGGAGACACGCCTAGATCTGCCACAGCCTCGATCAGTATAACAGTGTTGGACGTCAATGACTTCACGCCACAGTTTTCTCCAGAAAACCTGATCATTCATGTCAAGGAGAATGAGGACGAACCGTCTCTACTCATCCATCAGGTGCTTCTGGATTGTATGGTCCTCATTTTATGTTGAAGCAAGAACTTTTAATTCATTAATTTATATATATTTTTAACCAGGTTTCAGCCTTGGATGAGGACTTGGAGATCAACAGTCAGGTGACCTACTTTACGCAGAATGAGGACAGTGATTTGTTTTCAGTTTCCCCTGATGGCACTTTGCAGATTCTACGCAGTTTAGACAAGGAAAAGGAATCACTGTACATCTTCACCATCACAGCAGTTGATTCAGGTAATTCAGGTTTAAACGCAAGTAAAAAAAAAAATCTTTCTGTAAACTCCGGCTTAGTAATAAACGTTCCTTTGTATTTTGAAGGCTTCCCTCCCCTGACTGGGACTCTGACAGTGCACGTTGTTGTGGATGATGTGAATGATAACTACCCAGAGTTTGCAGAGGAAGTCTACAACACCATGGTGTCTGAGGACAGTCCAGTAGGCACAGTGTTTGCCATGATAACTGCGTTTGATGTGGACGAAGGCATGAATGGGGCAGTCAGGTAAAGTAAAAACATCACGATGGAAAATTTACACGTTAAGCCGGGCGTACACTGTGCGACTTTTTCACTTTTTTGAGCCGATTTTCCACTCGTGCGAGAATCCACGAGATAGGGGCGAGTTTTGCGCTGAGCGTGGTGTAGTGTACAGGAGGTTACGAGAGGTGATTAACACCACGTGACCAGCTACCGATCAGCAATCGTGAGCTCGCACAAACTTCTGGCGTGTTTGATATTTTGCTCGTCCCTCGTGAGGGTATCGCACTGTTGAAGCGGCGCTGCGAGCAGCTGCAACCCAAATAGTACCAGAACCGTTCACGGTGCATGCGTCAACACCGCAATCATGCAATCATGCGTCAACACCGCTCGCCCGCTATTTCCCTAATAACACACGTTGTTCGTTTTTATTTCTACGTTTTTTTTACTCACAACGATTGTCAAGAAGGTGTGTTTGTCGTGTTCATGTCAAATAAAACTGATCACAAAACACAGATTTACTTTCTTTATTTCGTTTTCCTCATCCAACCCCCATAAATCCCTGTGTGTCCTCCTGCAGCACTCCCGAGGGACAACAGGCAAGACGAGAAAAAAAAGTCTGACGTGTTGTGTAAAAACTGCTATTTTTAGCATATTTTTTAGGGCCGACGTGTTGCTAGCAGACGTACAGTGTGAGCAGTCAGGTCGCATCCGAGAACTGGGTCGTGCAGTGTGAGCACATGACTCGTGAGATCTGCCCTGCGAGGAAGTCGTACAGTTTGAGCTGAAGCTGAGAGCTACAAGTGTAAAAGTCGCACAGTGTCCGCCCGGCTTTAGGAGAGGAGTCAGAAATATGACTGGCTATTCGTGCAACACACTGAAATCTCTTATTTTCAATTAGGTATCTAATTGAGAACCTTGATGCACCTTTTGCCATTGAGGAAACATCTGGAGAGTTGTTTACAACTGACTTCTTGGACAGGGAGACTGTAGCCATTTACAACTTGACAGTGATAGGAAGTGATATGCACCCCACCGCGCCTCTGTCAAGCTCTGTGCTTGTAACTGTGCTTGTGGGTGACATAAACGACCACTGGCCCAAGTTTACGGACAGCCCCTTTGTAGCCTATGTGCCCACCGAGCTGGCCCCAGGTGAGAGACACGCCCTTCGGACAGTGAAGGTACCATCATAGAAACGGAGAGTGGATTTAAACTTTTTATGGTTGCTTTTCCACAGGTTCGGTTGTTTGTGCAGTGAGAGCGACCGATGAAGACATTGACATGAATGCAGAACTGTATTTTTCCTTATATGGACAAAGTTCAGACCTGTTCTCTATTGACCCAAACAGTGGCACTGTGTTCACTTCAAGTGTGTTACCGAACACTGACAACATTACTATCAACGTGTATGTAGAAGATGCTGGAGAAAGTCCTAAATTTGATATCTCTACAATCAGCATCTGGTTTCGGAATATTTCGGACTTTCCCGAGATGAATGTAGATGTTTTGAGTTATACCCTCCCTGAAGATCAGCCGGTAGGAAGTTTAGTGGCTGTGGTGTCTGCAGCAAGCGTCAGAGGTGAACCCATTTCTTTTTATCTGGCTTCTGGAAACTTTGAAGACATGTTTCATCTAGACCACCTGCATGGAGAGCTGACAGTAGGCAACCCTTTGGATTATGAAACCAAAAAGGATTTTTCTTTGCTGATTGAAGCCAGAGACTCTGGCTCTCCTCCCTTCTCATCGTTTTCAGAAATCCGGATGAACGTCACTGATGTGAACGATAACTTCCCGCAGTTCACTCAAGATGAATACAGGTGTGAGGTTTTTGAGAATTCCCCACCATCGGCAGTTTGTGACGTTTTTGCTATTGATGCAGATTCTCCCCATTACAGCACAGTGTGGTACAGTCTCGTAGAAGAAAACGACTATGACTTTTTCACGCTTGATCCAGAAACGGGTTTACTCAGCACCACTGTCAGTTTAGATAGAGAAACTGTTCCCATGTTGAATTTGACAGTTGAGGCTGCAGAGGTCAATGAGCCTCTGCACAAAGACAGAGCGACTGTCATCATAACTGTTTTAGACAGAAACGACAACGCACCTCGTTTTACGCAGGTTTTTCTTGCAGAAGTGCCCGAAGACGCTCTTGTAGGACAAGCCGTTGTGCGGTTAACCTCAACTGACGATGACGAGGATGACGCTGCAATTATTTATTACATTCGTGACCAAAGTGAGGACGCAGTCTTTAACATAGATTCCACTACTGGCTGGATAACTGTGAAAAGGCCTTTAGACAGGGAAAAGCAGGCTCGGTATGTCTTAAAAGTAATTGCCAACGATTCAGCATGGAGCATAAGCACTGACGTTACCATCATAATTTCAGATGTCAACGATAATAGACCTGTATTCTTAAACGAGTTTTACACAGCTGTCATCCCTGAAACAAACGAAGCAGAAGTCTTCATTCTGCAGGTTCATGCAACAGATGCAGACATTGGGCAAAACAGTGAAATTCTGTTTGTTGTTGAAGCACCTAATGAAATATTTTGGGTGAATGCTTCATCAGGTGACATTTATACAAAGCAGCCTCTAATTTTACACGATTCTGCTTTTGAAGTCTATGATTTCAGAGTTCTTGCTTTTGATTGTGGCACTGTACCTCTGCACAGTTATGCCACTATCACAGTGAGATTAGAACAATTTAACCACCACCCTCCGAGAATTTCTCTTTTACAACCTCTGATCGCTATTCCATCCGACTTGCCCGTGGGAACCGAGGTGGTTACGTTCACAGCAACAGATCCAGATGTTAACAGCAGTGTGAACATTGAGTTTAGTGTGGGTGGAGGTAATGCGTCTGCATTTTTCTGGATTCACACCAAAAACGGGAAGGTGTTTTTAAATAAAACTTTACCAGGGAGTGAAAACCCACTCCTAACTTTAACAGTTGTGGCCACAGATAAAGGCTTCCCCCCATTATCATCAGATACCGACATCTTTTTTCAAATTACAGAGAGGAATAACTTTTCTCCAACCTTTATTGAGCCACATGTTACTTTCTCTATCCCTGAAGACCTGCCCATTGGATCAGTGGCAGGAAGAGTTCAAGCAGAGGATGGCGACTATGGTCCCAATGGTGCAATTATGTACAGCATCACACCTGAAAATCAAGATTTACCAGTATCTGTCGGTAAAGACTCAGGGTTGATAACGCTAACAAGAGGGCTCGACTTTGAAAAAGAAAGCATCTATAATTTACAAATCAAAGCAACAGATGGTGGATGGTTCCCCAGAATGGCCATATTAAATGTTACGGTGATGGTAATGGATGTAAATGACAATCCTCCGATGTTTTCATCGTCTGAGTACACTGCGTCAGTGCCAGAAAACTCACGAATTGGAACAGTTGTTCTAGATCTACACGCCGCTGATTTAGATTCAGGGGTGAACGCACAAATATCATACTCTCTTATTGCAGGCCATGTGGATAAATTTGAAATTGACCCAAGAAACGGAACAATAACCACTTTGGATGTTTTTGATTATGAGCAAGAGCAGAACTTTGATTTAACAATCAAAGCTTCTAACAGCGGCAGACACACGTTATTTAGCCTGACACGTGTTGTTGTCGCGGTTTCAGATGTCAATGAATTCACTCCAACATTTCTGACAAGAACATTTAACTTCTCAGTGTTTAAAAATGTGCCGGTTGGAACAGCGGTAGGAAGGGTGACAGCCACTGATGGTGACGGAGGCTCTGAAGGCCGGGTGTTTTATTTGATGTTCGGCCATGGCAGAAATAAAGGCTTTAACATTGACCAACTCTCTGGAGAAATGCGCACAAGTGCAAGTTTAAGGAATCGAGGCAACAGCCATGTGGCATTCAAAGTTCTTGCCAAGAACTCAGGAGTTATAAGTGGAACCGACGAAGATGAGGCAGCTATCCACGTCAGTGTGATTGACATCAACGATGCACCTACGTTTACCTCTGCATGCTATGTGGGAAATGTTACAGAAGACAGTCCACCTGGAACATCTGTACTAACTGTTAGTGCTCTGGATCAGGACTACATACCAGACTGGAACCGATTCTTTTTCAGCATTGAGAATGGAAACACAAACTACTCTTTTTCCATCGATCCTCCAAGTGGAGTCATTTCAGTAAACTCTTCCCTTGACCGAGAACTTTGGTCCATTTATAACCTCACTGTCACAGCCATTGATAATGGCTCTCCCCCAGCCACTGGGACCACAAATGTCATTGTGACTATAGGAGACGTTAACGACAACGAACCTCAACTCACGTCAACAGAAGCTCAAGTAAAGGAAAATCAACCTGGAGGTACCGTAGTTGCTATGCTAAATGCATCTGATGCTGATTTACCACCAAATCAAGGCCCCTTTACGTACAGGTTGTTAAATTTGTCAGAGACTAGCTCCTTTTTACTCACTCCCGATGGAGTTTTACTTACCACTCGAACGATTGACCGTGAGAATATTTCTGAATATCGAGTCCTTGTTCTGGTTCAAGATGCAGGGTTTCCATCTGCATTGTCTTCAACAGCCACACTTCACATTAAGGTGGTGGATGAAAATGATAACCCACCATTGGCGAGGAACATCTTCATCGAAGTGAAATATTTCGGAAGCTCTTTTAACGGAGGCATGATTGGTAACGTGCATCCAGAGGACCACGATGAGTCTGACACGTTCACCTGTACCATTAAAAGTGGGCCAACAAACATGTTTACGATTCTCAATGGCACCTGTGAGCTGTGGTCACTACCTTTTCAAGGTGAGGCCACATTCAACATCACTATTGAAGCTACTGACCAGCTTCACGTCCCAGTAAACAACAGTATATATGTAAACTACAAGGGCTTTACAAATGCATCGATAGACAGTTGTATATTGTTTTATGTGTCATCGTCATCAATGGATGACTTTTTATCTAGCAAGTACTTGAGGTTTGTGAAAGCACTGGACAGTTTGTTCAACCTGCAGGCCTCAAAGACTCATGTGTTCGGAATTAAACATGTTGGCAGGGAAATTCTTTTATTGGCTGCAGTAAAAAACTACAACGGACAGTATCTCAGCAGAGAGGTAGCCAGTAGCATATCTGCCGGACATAAGAAGCTACTGGAGACTCAGAGCAATGTGACCATTTCTTACATCACCAGTGATCCGTGTCTCACCAGCCCCTGCCAAAACAGGGCATTGTGCCACAAAAACATTCACATCACCCAGGGGGTTGCTGTCCTGGAAAGCATGGCTGTCATCTTTGTGTCGCCACAGAAGGAGATTTTTAATTGTGCTTGTCTGGTTGGATTCACCGGTTCACTGTGTGAAGAAGACATTGACGAATGCGAGGCGAGACCTTGTGAGAATAACAGCACATGTGAGAACACTGCAGGAAGTTTTTACTGCCATTGTCACAGCGGCTTCTCTGGGTCTGTCTGCTCTGCTGATGAGGATGAATGCCTGAAGTTTAAATGCCAAAATGGTGGAACGTGTTTTCACTCACAGGAAAGATATTACTGCCAATGTTTGCCCGGATTTGAAGGTAAACTTTATTATAAATTGCAAGATAATTTATTGTTTTAACTGAAGCAAAAACCTCTTAACATTTAGTGGCTTTTTTCTTATTTTCAGGTGAAAAGTGCGAAGATCTTGTGGATCGCTGCAGATCAACTCCTTGTGTTCAAGGCAACTGCGCCAACCTGCCGTCGGGATTCTCCTGTATTTGTCCCTTTGGTGAGAATAATCGTGAAATATATAACTATAGCAAGGATTTGCAATTTAGAAGCTACACAGCCTTCCGGGTGGGCACAGTGTATGAAATTTGCTATATAAATAAAGCTGCCTTGCCTGTTAGCAGGAGGGAGATTACAGCTGAGTGCAACAACTACATGTAAAGCATGGGGCTACTCAGATATCACACAACCATCTAATATCCAACTTTATTAGAATATCAAATATTTGTAGAAAGATTTGAATGTAAGTCAAGTGGGAGTGATGAACAATCCATCCATCTGATTTCATCTGCTTATCTAAGCAGAGAAGCCCAGACTTCACTCTTGGGCCAGCTCTTACTGGGAAATCCCAGCGTTCCCTGGTCAGTGTCCTGGGTCTACCCTTGGGTCTCCTTTTGTTTGGACGGGCCCAGAAAACCTCACCAGGGAGGCATCCAGGAGGCATCCTAATCAGATGCCTGCGCTGCATTAACTGGCTTCTCTCGATGTGGAGGAGCAGCGGATCTACTCTGAGCCCCTCCCGGATGACCGAGCTTCTCACCCTATCTCTTAGGAGGAGCACAAACACTCTACGGAGGGAACTAATTTTGGCCGCTTGTATCCGCAGTCTCGCTCTTTCAGTCACTACCCAAAGCTTGTGACCATAGATGAGGGTAGGAACGTAAACAGAGAAAGCGAAATCTATCTTCACCACGACAGACCGGTACAACGCCTGCATCACTGCAGACGCAGCACCAATCCAACAATCGATCTTGTGCTCCATCTTTCCCTCACTCGTGAACAATTCAGGGTGGTAATTTTATTCCCATTTTATACACTTTAGTGCTAAAATAAGCTCAGGGAATTCCCGGTCTAACCTTGAGTTACCTTGGAGATCCATTCATTCAATTTCTGAAATGCTTACTTGTGAGTTGGGGTCACAGGGTGTCTATCTCCAGCAGTCAATGGACGAGTGGCGGGGGACACTCTGGACAGATCGCCAGTCTATCACAAGGACACACACATGGGGACAAAAAAGTCATTTACTCAAATCTAGTCAGAATTTAAGGTCATCAATTAGCCAAACACACATGGCGTTAGGAAAGTGAGGTATCCTGGAACGGATTCTGTATGCATGGAAGATTATGTAAACATCGCTCAGAAAGGCTGCAGCTGGGATTTGAACCAGCAACCTTCGAACTGTGATTGAATGGTGCTGCCATGCAGCTCCACGTTTAGACTCAACAAAAGCTTAGCAGCGATATTATCTAGTGTTTTACCAGGTTTTTACTTTTACATCAGTGGTTCTCAAAAATTCTGTTCTGAACATCAAAACATTCACTGTGTCTCAATTCAGGGTCTGCATCCTTCGAAGGACCCAGCCTACTCGGCCGACGTGGGCTGGGTCCTCCGTCGGCCGAGTAGACCGGATGTTAACGGCTGTGAATTTGGACAGGCCTAGCCTTCATGAATTCCCGCCACTCCCTCGGCGAACGTTCCGTCGCCTAGCAACCGTGGAACCGCTGAGCAGAAGGGAGAAGGAACTTTAAACAATGGAGCTCGAAGTTTTATTTAGCTTTTTAATCATTTCCTTGACTGTTGGAGAGCTAATTCAGAGAAAATACTTTTGGCAAGCTGAGCAAAGATGTGATCATAGTTTTTAATACTTTCTAAGGGTCTTAATTTCAAGACCCAGCGGATACCCTGTAATATCAAACAATTCACATTTGTAAACAAAAATAAAATTCAAGTGTTTAATACAGAACTAATTTTATTTAGATATTTCTTTTATATGTACATGTTTAATCTTTCTCTCCTGTGCCCTCTGCTGCTCTGCCTCCCTCTGCAGCCTCATGTCCTCCCTGATCAGCTCCAGAAGCTGGTCATCGCTGTCACCTTCCCCTGGATGCCCATTTTCTCCAGAATAGTTGTAACAAACATGTAAGAAAAGAAACAGGAAGAGAAAAGAGGACAATGGGTTATTCCTTTCATGTTTTCGCAGAAAAAACTAAACTCAAACGAGTTTTTAAAATATGAGATGTTATTGTACCTCCATGCCACAGCCTCTGAATACTTTGCTCCAGTGATCATGTGGTCCATCTCCGCCCTAAGCTTAATAAAGTCCGTGTTTTTTTCTTTTGTCCCTAAAATACAAACTCCTATTAAAATCAGGGGGAAAACGTAGCGGGAGAAGTGCAACACCGAGCGGCCGAACATACGAGCCGAGACCGCAATACAAGCACTTTTACTGTAACATTTCTAACTAAATTAATGTTCATGTATCACAAAAAGCCCTTAACCTAACAGTTTTCAAGTTTATACTGACATTTATATGTGCAATCCTCTCCGACAGCTCCCACTTCACTGTCCGCCATTGTTTTTAAAAGTTCTGCCGTCCAACCCGCAAGGCATCTTGGCAAATGTAAACCATTGAAGGAAACATCAGACCCATCCTGCTTGCAGGCGAAAAGAAGGCCGGATTCGTCGACCGCATTTGAAGGAGTCTTCGAATTGGGACAAGTTGCGGCGCTGTGACGTAACCGGCCGACGAATCCGGCCGATGAAGGACGCAGACCCTGAATTGAGACGCAGACATTGTAAAGAACTCGCAACCCTAAACTAACAAAAAGGAATAAGCATTTATAAAAAGCTGAATAAACAAAGTCATAGTAAAATTAGAGACTCCATCTCAGACTTCTACATTTCATTTGTGCCAGTCTTCTTTTTTTTTTTACCACTAAAATGTGTCTTTAACAAAGTCTTCTCAACATCTTTGTTTGTAGGAGTCAGTGGAGTTCATTGTGAGGAGCCCAGTTATGGCTTTGAGGAGCTGTCCTTTGTAGAGTTTCCGCCACTGGATCGCAGAACTAATTTAATCTCATTTGAGTTTGCAACGGTGCAGAGTAACTCTCTCCTGCTGTACAACCCTGGAGTTTCATCCAGCAGGGAGTTCTTCACGCTGGAGATCCTTGATGGAACCGTACATCTGACTTATGACCTCGGGTCAGGGCCTGTGAGGCTGCAAACTAATAAGCGAGTTGCAGACGGACGGTTTCACAGCGTTACTGTCAGGAGGATTGGAAATGTGAGTCTGAAATATGACCAAATTAGGCATGTGGTTGTTTCAAGTTAAGATAGGGATTGTTGGCATACTTTAACAGATGGGATCTTTGCTGGTGGACAACTGCACAGATGTTGAGAACAATGGATTTTGTTTTTCAGAAAGTGATGGCACCATCATGGAAAGGTAAAGCAGAACATAAAGATATCCTTCCTTTTTAGTGACTTGAACAAACAACTTATCATTCTGTTGTTTTATGGTTTGTCTTTCAGGACTCTTGATGTTGGAAACACTAAGATGACATTTGGAGGACTGAGGACTCATCAATTCCTCCTGCAGCATCCTAATCAGATTAAAAGCCACGACTTTGTTGGATGCATTCGAAATATTTATATCAACGGAAAACTGCTGAGACCTACAATGGGCCTCGCCGTGCATAACGTCGTTGACAGGTAGGATTGATGAATCTGAAACGTGTGCATGATCCATGTTCAAATATTTGTTCAACGTCTGGATTCAACCCTTGTGCTTTTACACTCTAAGGTGTCCGAGAGCAACAGTACCAGGATGCAACGGCGCCCCATGCAAGAATGGTGGTGTGTGTCATGACCTTTGGTCTGACTATGTTTGTGAGTGTAAAAGTCCTTTTATGGGAAGAAACTGTGCCACAGGTGAATAAAATATTCATCTTTAATATGTACGAAACAGGAGTTGTTGATTCCAATGATTCCCTCAGCTCTGATCATCACCAACACCCGCCCTGCAGCAATCTGCTCAGATGTTCTCAGTGTAACAGAATGAAATTACTGGTTTTTTTCCTCCTCTGCACAGAACTAGTCTGCATGAGTAGGGATGGGTACCGAATTCGGTACTTTTTAAGGTACCGACCGAATTCCATAGTACCGACTGAGCACCGATTCACGTCATTTGAAATGGTGCCTCGTTTCGGTACCCGTCCTTCATAACGAGAACTTGCCAAGACCGCTGCGCATGCACAAGAGCGTTATGTCGTCGCTCGCTGCGAGCGAGTTGTGAGCAGAGCAGCATGGTAGAAAGAACGCACGCTAAAGCTTGGGTCCACTTCACTAAATGTGATGGGTAACTGGGTGATGATGAAACCAGCGTCAACGATCTAAGTGAGACATCCTCATCTTACTCTGCTCCGGTAGGTAAATAAAATGTTTAAGATAACGTTAGCTTGATATGTTAGCTTCCGTTTCGCTAATGGTGCGTTCGCGTTCTCCTCGGAACTCTGAATTTCTGACTAGAAGAACATGAACGCGCTCTAAAGTTTGGCTTCACTTTACTAAATGCGACGGGTGATGATGAAACCAGCGACAACGATCTAAGTGTGAGGCCTCATCGTTTTAATCTGCTCCAGCAGCTAAATAAACTGTTTAAGATAACGTTAGCTTGATATGTTAGCTTCCATTGCCACCGTTGTTATCAGCTAATGGTGCGTTCGCTTTCTCCCCGGAAATTCTAACTTCCCAGTAGGAAAAATCAAATGAAAAAGGACGGCAAAAGGAATGAAGATACACAGTACATTTAGTTCACAGTAAAGATGTTTGCTTCAGTTTAATTATCAGCTTATAAAACTACAAGGACAATATTAAAATACAAACATTTGTATGTTATTTATCGTGATATTTATCAAATATGGTTATATATTGAGAAAAATATATATTTAATTATAAAAGAGAATTAAAACAATAAATACTCAAAAGTATCAAAAATCGGTACCGTTGAGTACCGGTATCGAATCCTAGGTACCGGGAATTAGTACCGAATCGATTCAAATGTCAAAGGTACCCATCCCTAGCAAGGTCTCATGCATTCGCGCTAACCTGCTTATTTTCAGCTCAACAGAAGAATGAAGATTGAACTCTTTTCTTTTAATTAATCAAATAACTATTTTAATAAAGCTAATCCAACCAAGTGTTAGTGAACAAATAAGATGTGACCGATCTGTGAAATCAAAATATTAATTACTTTATTGTAATCCTATATAGTATAAAGGTACTATGACTTTAAATGTTCCAACAGGACTCATTTCACGTAGCGTTAAAAAGACATGACACATTACTTTCACTGATCCAATCAGAATCTTACAGATCTGACGGAGGCGTGGTTTTGCTAACACTTGGTTGGATTAGCTTTATTAAAATATAATTCTTTGATTAATTAAAAGAAAAGAGTTAATTCTTCATTCTTCTGTTGAGCTGAAAATAAGCAGGTTGGAGCGAATGCATGAGACCTTATCTCATGCAGACTAGTCCTGTGCAGAGGAGGAAAAAAACAGTCATTTCATTCCGTTACATCAGTTATTAACCAGGACTTAAATAATTATTTCAGGTTTTTCTGCACTGACATCATGAAAAGTTCAATTATATGCTCACTCCCCACAACCTCACGGATGGCAAACCAAGGCTATGTACAGATGTCGCAGGCGGCAGTAGTTCCGTGAATCATAGACATCTTTGCTGAAAAACACCCCATGGATGTGGAGTTATTAGGTGGTGGGTTAGGGTTAGGGTGACTTATGTGGTCTTCTACATAGAGCAAAAACAAGTGAGCGTAAACACAGGCCATACAGGTGATGTCAGTGCATTTTAGTCGTGGATAGTGACGCTGAGAAACCTAAAACTCTGGTTATTTATCTGGCTCTGCACCTGGAAAAATATTCATGTGAAGCAGAATACAAAATAAATAAATAAATAAATAAATAAATAAATAAATAAATAAATAAAACAACAAAAATGTTTCTTTTATTATCATACATCAGTGGGGCTTAAAATGTTTATGTTTATTTATTTGGCAGACGCTTTTATCCAAAGCGACTTATAATTTACAACCTATAGGGCATGTTGTGATCTGTGGGGGAAACCGGAGTACCCGAAGGAAACCTACGCGTGCATGGGGAGAACACGCAACTCCTCGCAGAAAGACCGCAACCGAGTTTCGAACCTGCAACCTTCGTGCTGCAAGGCAACAGTGCTAACCACTGCGCCACCATGCAGCCGACCACTAGGAGGCATTTTGGTTTCTTTCAGCTTCAAATTCCTCCTAAAAATCAATGAAAAACTCATATTCTGTCATTATATTCTCACAAGACAGTGAAGATTGAATTTTGATTAAATGTTTGCAGTCCTCGACTTTGCAAACCACCTGAACACCCAACCTAACATCTGTTTATGAGGATCTGTGATGTTTTATGTGCTGCTTAACTGTCGCTAAATTCATGTTTTGTCATGTTTGATACAGAAATGTCAGAAGATCTTGTACTGAGGTTTAATAAGAGTGACTTCATTGAGTATGTCATTAAGGAGAGATTCAAGAGGGACTACCTGCTCAAACTTCTGGAGGATAAAACCAGAAACCAAACTGTGTTTGACATCAAGTTCAGAACCAGAGATGGTGGAGTTTTACTCTCTATTCACGGACAGACAGGATACGTGATCCTGATGGTTTGTATGAAACGTGTTCAGCACATCTACATGATGCATCTCAATAAAATTACCATTTTAAAGTCTTTTTTTTCCCAGATAAGAGACAGAAAGCTTGTGTACCTCTCTAAAGAGGCAGGACACCTGTCAGAGTTCATAGTGGAGCTTCCAGTTGCTGATGGACTCTGGCACATCCTGTCCTTGTTCAACAATGGGCATAACACGTTTTTGTCTGTGGATGGTAAAATAGTCATGAACAGCACCAACCAAAGCATGGCTCTCACCCCTGTTAGTGTGCAAAGGTTCGTCCTTGGTGCTCCCATTAGAGAAGCAAAGCTCCAGCAGTCAGGTGACGTTCTCAGGCTGTTCTTCTCTGGCTTTGACGTCCTTCTCACTCCTTAACTAATTTGTCTACTTTTTCCCAAAACAGGGTTCAGTGGGTGTGTGCAGTACTTCAGTATGAACAGTTACACTCTGCCCATCAGTGGGCACAGTGAGAAGGTGGCGGTGCGGCCGAGCTCGGCTCTTGTCCAGTCCAGCTGCAGCTCTCCAGATGTTTGCCATTCCTCTCCTTGCTCTGAAGAGAGCTTCATCGGGAAGATGTGCAGTCCTGCAGACCAGAACATGTCCTGCATCTGTTTGCAGAATGTTTCTGGTCATATCTGTGATATTTGCATCTATGCTACCCTAGATTGCTACGAAGTGCAGGGCAGCAAACCTTTGTGGCTCATAGCCGTGGTTCTCCCTCTGATCTCCACCCTGGCCATCGTAGGAATGTGTGTTCTGTTCAGACTCCGACTGCGAGATGGGAGGATTAAAAATGAGAACTTCCCCCCGGAGACAGGACAGGGATCAGAAAACACGACTTTTTGTTTCGATGATGTGCTCACAGATACCGCTTTGACTAGAAAACAGAAACCTCGTTTCCCTGTCGGTGCAGATAGGCAGAGGACGTCCGATGCGTTGAACCGTGACGCTAGTCGGTCAGGTGTACAGCCGATGCTACCGAGCGAGCTGGAGTATTATGAGATCGGCAGCATCTGTAGTGCGTTTCACTCTGATGACTCGGTGGAACTCGGCGGGCGCGAGCATTTTTACACAAACAATGTCAAAAATGATTCAAAACAATGGGGGACTCTGAGAACCCTTTTGTCCAAATTTGGGAAAGAAAGCTCAGGTGAAGACAAAAGTCCATCAAAGTCACCAAAATCTGCGGCGCTACAAAAGCAGCTGTTTAGAACTCACACAGAGCAGCCTGAGCCGACGCCGCCTTGTCCGTTTAAGAGGTTTCCCCGACCGGAGCTCCTGGCGCCAACCCGATGCCTCACGTTTGAAGAAATAAGAAAACTTAATTCTCCGACGTTTTCTCAACAAGCATCCCTGAAATCCACACCGGCCAAGTCTAACCTGATCATGGAGACTTCCTCTGAATGTGACACTGACAGCACATTCACTTGCTCCGAGTCGGATTGTGGACAGTTTCCAGAGAAATGCCTCCATGACCGGTCGTCCCTGTCAGAGTTCAGCACAGTTTTTAAACAACCCTCCTCTTCCGCTGCAGGTCAAATCCACACAGCTTCTCTCAGCGTGTTTGAACATTTCGAAGATATTTTAAATATGCAGCTGCCCTTCAGCAGCTACGCACCTGTTTTTGAGGATATTGCACGTTTACCAACTGAGTCCAGTGATAACTATGACTTCCACAAAGACTTAGAAGAAATCATCTGATTAATATGATAGAAGGCAGGTAGAATAAACAAAGTCATTTCCTATATTTCTCTTTGTTGTGGCATTTTTATGCATCTGAGTTTTCCTTATTTACTACAGAACATTACTGCTATTTAGCTACAGTTTCCTGAGAGTTCTGCTTCAAAGAGCGGGAGAAGCATCGTTTACCGTCTCTTGTAAGCACAGCCTCGGGATATGGGTCCAGATCACCCCTACCGGTAAACACTGCAGGGCTTTTCTTTGTTCTCCCCCTTTGGGTGGGGGGTTCAAGGGGGCTGTAGAGAGTGTGGGGGCCTCTGCTGAACAGGACACACTGCTGGAGCTGCTTTGGGAAGAGCTTCTGTGACTCTTTCGTCATTTTGATAATGCAATATTGAAATTAAACCATTTTGATTGAATCATGGACTGCTTTCTCGTTATTTTATTAAGTCTCTAAAATAAATTCCACGACAGTCCCTCAGCTCTCCAGTCATTAGTTGTGAACACCTTTTTCTCATTAGCTCACCTTGTAATCCCATCCCTCAGTAGGCATCAATGGCCCAATCCCAATACTCGGAAGTGCGCAGTGGGACTTCGAGTGCGTAGTACACAAGTGTGCAAATAATTGCCGAATTGGGACAGTGAGCATGGCGTCATCGACCGCAATGCATGCCGGTTGGCGTTTGTGCTAGGGTTTTAAAAATCTTTATTAACAACATTCCAACAAACAAAATTTACATTGCCTGCTGTTCACATTAAATCTTAGTCTAAAACATTCAGAGCATGAATAAATATCATGAATTTATTTCATTAGAAAATATGTATTCCCAGAAAAATCACTTGAGCCATTGATCTGCCTTCACAAAATTTCCACGCAGCAATGGATTGTGGGTAATACCCTTCAATCAAGGGTGCTAAAGGGGCGTGGTCAACTTCCACACTTGAGGATCGGGATGCCCTATGCACTCGCACCTCTGGGCTGGTATGTGCAATTGAGGGCACAAGGGTGGAAGTGTAGGTATTAGGATTGGGCCCAGGTTTCAGTTCTATCATGTCCTGTTGTATCATGTTTGTATCTGTTCACTTCATTCATATTTTGATTTTCAATTCTTTAAATGTGCTTTTATTTCCGTCACTTCCTGGCTCCCAGAACCTTCAGCTGTAACTCTGGTCCTACAACAGCCAACCTTGTGACAGAAATCAGACTAACTTTACCAAGAGACAATTTTTAATTACATTTTCTTTAATTAGTCTTCTCTTTAAACTGTTTCACATTCAATTTTGGAGGAAAAAAAATAAAACTGGTATGTGGTGAAACTACGTTTTATTCTGTATTGCGGTAGTTAAAATGCACAAAGTCCAGAATTTTACAAGCTGCCTTAAAAAACATTCTCAGCCAGTAAAACCAGAAAAAAACGAACAAATCAAATAATGTCTACTACAAAGTGGTCAAAATTAGATTATACAAAATAATGTCTTCAATTTAGTTTTTTGAGTCATACATCTGATTGAGATGTTAAAAACATAATTCATGGATGATTAGTTTAGTAAGAATAAATTTAACACGTAATCCCGTGACCTTCCCACAGCTGGGAAGCTAATTTCGGCACAACACCTGGAGGGAGGGGCGAGTGAGTCGTGTAGTACCGCGAGCTTCCACTGAGTGGCTTCTGTGAGCTGAAAAGGGTGGGAGGAGTGAGTCATGCCCTGGTCGTGCCTCATTTGAGCTGGGAGTAGTGAGTCGTGTAGTACCGCGACTTTCCACGGAGTGACTCGTGTGAGCTGAAACAGGGTGGGAGGAGTGAGAGTCGTGAGTCCCCTGAGTGAACTCTGCCGAGTGAGGCCAGCGAGGGGGAACCGAGTGATTTGCTCATGCTACGATTTAGCACCGGACGTCGCAAGCTAGCCCTACGGAAGGAAGGGTGACGTTAGCAGAGTGATGCTACTGTGAATTAATGAGCTTCCAGCCCTGAGCAGGTAAGGAAATGTTTTAGTTAAGAAACTGGCTTTTGTTCCCACCCCCACCCCCAACACAATTTTAGTGATGAGCTAGAAATATTTCTAACTAGAACAATTAGCATTTCTTGCAGAAATGCTGTTTGAATGCTGGATAGCTGAAACTGTAAGCTGAACTGAAGCTGAAACTAAGCAAAACTGTCTAATTGAGCTGAATGTATTGAACGATTTAGAAGCAACAAAGCACAAACAACCACATAAAGCACAAATAATAAGTGAATAATAGAGAAAAATAATCCTAAATGGCAGAAAACTGAAATCTGTTTTCATTATATAAAAATCTGGACAGCTAAAATGTCTATAAACACCTGTTATTTCAGTAGGACAAGTTTAACAGTTTAATCTTTACATTTAGGTGAACTGTGAAATTAGCAGCATATGCTAAATTTGCTTAACATAATTCAAACAATAAAGAGATACAGGAAAACAATAGTTTGAATCAAACAATAATAAAATTAGGTTCAGGGTATCCGCGGAGTCTTGAAAAGTATTAAAAGGTGATAAATCAATTTTGGAAAAATTAAGACCCTTAAAAAGTATTTAAAAGTCTTATCACGGCTTTATAAAGTCTTAAATTTAGAGATTATTTTTTAAATTAGATGGCCAACAGTTTGTTTTATTTTTATTTTTTAACGAACCGAGGGAGCATAAAAAGATTTAAAAAATACTACGCTGTTGTGGGTGCGTTAGTAATTTTTCTCTCAGAGCACAGGGCGGACGGGGTGGAAGCTCAAAAGTGCAAAGAACGCTCTGGTGTTCCCGGTGCATATTACGAACTCACCTAAATGTTAAGATGGAAGAGAATGTTGGTGAACGTGAACGCACAACGAGAATGGGAAAGTGCAAGTTTGCAGCGTCCTGGCTGGATATCCCGGATTTCAAAGAATGGCTGCAGCCAGTCGAGGGGAACGTGAGCGTTACGAAGTAGAAAACGAAGCAATGCAGTATGTAAAAACAATATATGAGTGTTTAGCCGCTGATTAGTTATTTGCGATAAAGTCTTAATTTTATTTTTAGAAGGTCTTAAAAAGCCTTGAAAAAGTCTTAAATTTAATTTTGAGATCTCTGCATATACCCTGTAGGTTGCTAACAGTAACAGGGATGAGTTAGTTGGGGTGGTGAATTGTGATTCACGAGTCAGTTTCTCCATCCTGTTCTTACTGCAAATGATCACAAAAGTCTAGTATGTAATGCCACATCAATGGTAGTATATATTTTAATACATTTGCATGAACTTCTGTGACACAAACCGTTCCATTCCAGTTTGAGCTTATTTCTGTTTCTTCAGTTTCTAAGTGTTATATCTACATCAGGTGGTAATTCTTCATAATATTTTTCACTAAAGTCCTGTAACATGTTCAAAGATCCACAATCCACAGTAATAAAATACAGGTCAGTTTTGCAGGACCAACATCTCTGCGTTTCCCCAAGTCCTCGTGAGCTAAAACACTTCACTCACTTAATCCCCAAGCTTACTTTTCTGTTCTTAAACCTCTGCATCAAAGCCTTTTTTATTTTCATAGTCCTGAAACAATAGATGACAGGGTTGACAGCTGCAGGTATGAGGCTGTACATCATGGCTAGGATGATCTGAGCATCCAGACTAAACCTGAATCCCAGATTGTCCGTGAGATAGTTGAAACATCTTGGGACATAGTAAAGGCAGGTGATGAAGATCTGAGGAGCACAGGTGGACAGAACTTTGTGATGCTGTCCTGTTAGTGACAATTTCAACACAGCAATGATGATTAAGAAATAAGAACAAATAATAAAGGTTAGAGGGACCAAAAGAGTAATCATAGCGTTAATAAACGACACCCACTTCACATACGCAACTTCATCCCCACACGCCAACTTAGTTATGGATATGTGTTCGCAGTAGCAGTGTTTGATGATGTTCAGATCGCAGTAAGGCAAAGTTAGAGCATGAAGCACAATCCCCATTATTCGGATTGACGTAAATATCCAGCACAAGCTGCAGGAAATAGAAACAGTTTTGTTCGTTAGTAAAATTGGGTATTGAAATGGGAACCATATTGCAATAAAGCGATCCAAAGCCATCATCAGCAGAATCAGAGAATGAACAGCTCCCAAAGTGTGAACAAAATACATCTGCGTGAAGCACGCTCCGAACGAGCACCTCATATCATCCCACCAGTACCTGGCAATGATTTTAGGAAGAGTCACAATGCCAAAGAGAATGTCTGTCAAAGAGAGGTGGAAGAAGATCAAGTATGTTGGTTTGTGGAGAGACCTCTCACCTGCGATGACTCCTAAAATAAAAATGTTTCCAAACACAATAGCAAGAAAAACAAAGAGGAGAATAACGGACACAAGTCCGTTGTACTCAGGCGGAAGTCCAGGGAATCCTGTGATAATGAAGTCTTTTATGTTTGTAACGTTTGAGTATTTCATAGTAAAATGTTCTGAAAAATCTTAAAACAAAACGAAAATACAACAAATCCTCAGAAAATTCCAAAGGTGAGAATAAAAAACCTTCTCATGAGCAACAGTGTTATTTTGTTGAACACAGTTGAGTTATTTTGCCCTGCATCTGTACATCTCACCTTTGTGTCTCTGAGAAATGAAGATCTCCATCAGGTGACATGTTGTGGCTGAGGTGCATCAGAGGAGGGTCGTGTTGTTTTTATTTGATGCTTTCCAATAAACTCTTGTCCAATGAAGAGGAAGCTCAAAGGCGTCGATTCACACGGGCACTAAAGTTTTCCAGGTGTTTCTGCATTACGTCATGCGTTCAATAATTTCACATTTGCTCGCTGAGTTCAGCATTCTTATGTTTCTTAACCTAAAATAAGAACCTACACTAACAAAAGTTCATATGGTGGTTGAAATAAATGAATTAGTAAAATTTTACTGATGTGGTTTAGTTGGAATATCAATTACTGAAATGTCTTAGTGATTGTTTAATGCAAAAAATGAAGCTCTTATGTTTATGTTCATTTATTTGGCAGACGCTTTTATCCAAAGCGACGTACAATTTTTAACTTGTAGGGCATGTTGTGATCTGTGGGGGAAACCGGAGTACCCGGAGGAAACCCACGCATGCATGGGGAGAACACGCAACTCAATGCAGAAAGGCCACAGCCGAATTTCGAACCTGCAACCTTCTTGCTGCGAGGCAACAGTGCTAACAACTGTGCCACCATGCAGCCCATATTACTTATATAAAAGTAATTATGCCAGTAATCTAAATCTCATGAATCTAACTTTATTGATACGACTTATGGTTCATGAACCATTATTGTGCTTGATCCAAGGGGATTTTATTAGTAATGTCTGAGGTTATTCTCTCTTCCTGACTGCTGCTGGGAGATAAATAATTCAGAATAGAATATAGGGCTGCCACAAACGACTATTTTAGTTGTCGACGAATCGTGTTGTTCATAAAAGTTTGGCTTATTGCACCAGGGTGCTCTAATTTACCCATCATTAGCTTCTAGTTTGAAGTGTGATCAGCTATGTGCCATCTAATAATAAAGACAAGATGATAGCTTATCAAACAACTTTTAATTAACTTTGTAACCTGTTAATACAAATGCTACAGTCAAATGGAGGTAGGCACCTAAAACCAAAAATAAATTGTGCACAAAAATGATTTGTGTTCGCGAGAGGCATGGTGGCAAGGTTGAGGCGCTTCATCTTCCAATCTTAACTCAGGAAATAGCCGGAGATACCAAGGTACGCCTCTGTAGTAGGGGCTGCATGACTTAATTTTTTTTAAAGTCGACAGTCAAGTAATGAAAATCAAGTCGACCTTGACTAGTCATTGATGACGTCATACACCTGAAGCGGGTGTGTGTGTGTGTGTGTGTTTCGCTGGAGTTTTTGACCATTAAAATTGCTAAAAGATCTACCGACTGCAAAAACAGCGGAGTGCGCGCTGCTCACCGGCCGCATCAGTGAGGTGCGTCACCGGAGGACAAAACTGCTGATGTGCCCTGCTCCACAGCAGCGAAACGCATCAGGCACAAATAAAAGACAGAAAACATAAAAGGAAATGAGCCGACATGAACGATCGCGTGTTAAATTTGTTTTTGAGGTAGCGACACCTGATTTGATAACGTTACTGTGGTCGTGCTCAGGACGCAGATGTCTGGAGCGCGTCAACGATCAGAGCTTTGCATGCGCAAGCTGGTTAAGATTAGGATGGGGGTGAGGGGAAGGTTAAATTACAAGAGAGTAAAGGTCACAATTCGGTCAAATGTCCGTTTTACGGCGGGTGTCAGTACCAACGCTCTAGCACAGCGCGTCGCCTCCCGACGCGCAGGGGCTCATCACCTGCTGTCTTTTCCGAAGACTGCATCTCTTCTGTCATTATCACGTGACAGCGACTAGTCGATGACAGGCATAAAAAGTCACTACAGAGCAGTGAAGTCGACTAGTTCATACAACCCCTACTCTGTAGCACGGCTGGTCCATATGTCAGCAGTCAGGGTCAGGGGATCATCGATGGCTCTCAGGGTCTGCTTTATTGTGAAGATAAAAAATATTAAAGTTACCTTGTTTACCAGATTAATAATTCTGTTATTTCAAATAAATTAGGTTAAGATTCAACACAAAGAAAATGTTTTATGCTTTAAAAAATAGTTTCTTGATTGCTCAGTCAGCAACCTTTTTATTTGATCAAAAAATGCATTATATTCTAATTATTTCATTTGTGTCCAGAGAAAAACTGAGACAAAGATGCACGCATGCTGGCACACACACACACAAACACACACCTTAAAGGTTGTTTCATTTTTCTTTTCCATCATGGTGCTGCAATGGGATCAGTCTGGTAGGTTGTTGTCGTGGTAACCTGGGTTGAGATGCTTGATACTCTCTTTGAAACCTTGATCGCTCAGTATGGACAGGAGTCTTGTAGCCAACAAGCTCACAATGGCCTCGGTCAGGACGTTAGCTTGCGGAGGTGTGCACTTAAAAAACTTGTCCATTGAAGAGGAGCACTTTCAGTAGCACTGTAACGTAGTGGGGTGAAATAAATCATTAGTGTTTGTAATTAGAGCAAAAATTTGTGACATACAAACATGTTCAATTCCATTTCAATTCAAGTTTATTTATATAGCGCCAAATCACGACAAGAGTCGTATCAAGGCACTTCACACAGTATACATTCCAATACAGGTCAATTCATTAAGCCAATCAGAAAAAAGTTTCCTATATAAGGAACCCAGCAAATTGCATGTCAGTGACTATACAGCAATCCTCATACTAAGCAAGCATGCAGTGACAGTGGAGAGGAAAACTCCCTTTTAACAGGAAGAAACCTCCAGAGGATCCTGGCTCAGTATATGCAGCCATCCGCAATGACTTACTGGGGATCGAGAAGACAGAGCAGACACACACACACACACACACACACACACACACACACACACACACACACACACACACACACACACACACACACACACACACACACACACACACACACACTGTTCTAACCGTTCTAACGGTAGTAACATTGCCACCGCTACTGGTGTTGCTACAGCAATGTTAGCAGCTAACAAGAAGTAAACTCACCGAGGCGACTCTTTCTTGTAACATTTGAGCAAATACTGGACTAGGGCTGCAACAACGAATCAATAAAATCGATGAAAATCGATTATTAAAAGCGTTGGCAACGAATTGCATCATCGGTTCGTTGTGTTGCACAACTCTACCAAAAGCCCCCGCCCGCTGTTGCCAGCAGACCGAAGCAAGTCAGATGAGCGTGGGGGAGAGCCGGCAGGTGTTTGGAAGAGGAACATGGCAGAAGCAGCTAGACCCGAAAAAGTAAAAACTTCTGAAGTTTGGGAGCATTTTCAGTTAAATCAGGCGAAGACATTCGTTACCTGCAATGTTTGTAGGTCAGACTTAGCATGGCACGGGAGTACTACGGTGATGGTGCAGCATCTTAAATGCAAGCATGTCAGAATCATCAGCGAGGAGGGAGAGAGCTCAGTGTCTTTTCAAAAGTGATTCACCCAAGCCCCGGATTATTACACAGCCCAGACATGCCCTAAGCTAGTAAAAAAAAGTCCATAAAATCGTAAGTGCGACGCTTATTAGATAAACGGGGGTGGAGTGGTGGTGGTGGTGGTGGTGGGGGGGTCTTCCCGTAGACTTGCGCTGCGGCAAACCGGTTCCGCCGTCACATTCCCGCAGAAACTGGTTGATCACACTGGGGCCAGACTACTAACATGTGGTTTTACAACTACAATGTCCTTGTAAGCGAAAACACTTTTAAAAGGGAGGGGGGTGTCCTAACTGTTGCTGTAGGCGTGTTGTGTGAGAGTGCAGTTATATACTGGTTAATGTATTTTTGGGTTCAGTTGCTCTCATGTGGCCTAATGAGAGTCCATTTAAAATATTAAGTTGTTTGGTGTGTCAGAACCCAAGCCCCCAGACCGGCCTCTCCCAGCTAACCGGCCTCCATCTTGGACCACATTTCCCAGCATGCTCCTCGCGGGAACTCCCGGCATTCTCCCAGTCACACCCAAGCCTATATATGGAAGACGCCACACCGGCTCCTCACTCAGTCATCGTTTCATTGAAACCCCTGATCAGAGTTCTCTACCGAATAATCCAGATATCAAACATCTTTACCAAGCTCAACTCCCGTACCCAGTCGACCATCGTGACAGGATGACTGAGTCCGTAGATCCAGCGGAGTTTGAGCGCATGAAAAGAAAGATGGAGCAAATGGAAAATGAACTCATTCAGCTCCACGCCCTGATCGATTGGCTCCACACCAAACAAAACTCCCAGACCGATCTCATCCTACAATTATCCACAGCCCTCCATGCTCTGCAGCAGCAAGCCCTCGCTCCACCAACAGAGGGGCCGCACTTTAGTCTCCCAGAGAGGTGGAACGGAGAGACGGGGAGCCCAGACGGTCTGCTCGCCACCCTCGACATGCAGTTTGAGTGCCAGCCAGGGTGCTTCCCCACTGCGCGCTCTCGGGTGGCGCATCTCACCTCCCTGCTCTCCGGACACGCGGCTGAGTGGGCCGCTGCGCTTTATAATTCCAAATCACCGGCTTGCAATGACTATGCTGCTTTTGTGTCCGCCCTCAGAAAGACTTTTGTTCCACCCAGCAGTGAAGTGGGAGCAGAAACACAACTCCTAAAGCTCCGCCAGCGGGATCGCACGGTGTGCGCTTATGCGTCGGAGTTCCGCACCATCTCCGCCAAGCTGCGGTGGGATGACTCTGCCCTCCGAGCCGTCTTCTTGGAGGGACTGGTGACCTACATCCGTGATGAGAAGGCGGGAAAGGAACTGCCCCAGACCCTTGATAAAGTGGTCGATTTGGCGCTGCGCATGGATCAGCGGGTTCTGGTTTGGCCCAAGCCCTTCACTCGCCCATCCAGGGCGCCTGGATCTCTTCCTCGTTCCCCCACGCCTGCTCCCGGACCCGCTTCTACTGATGAGCCCATGCAATTAGGCCACCTTCC